AATCCAAAAATCCGCTAATTTTTGGCTAATTTTTGTCTTTTTTCGTTATTTTCCGTTAATTAACGGAAAATTAACGGAAATTAACCTCTGTCCGCTATTAACGGATCCGGGTGGCCACCTCTAAATGGTATACCCCTCGTGGAGGGATTCTAATAGTGACACGATTTGGTCAACATGTCCAATTAGATTTGAAAGAGGCCGGGGCGTGTGACATGGTTTTTGTTCATTGGAGCCGGTTCGCGCCTGCCGTCGCCCGGTCCACCCCTTATGGGTGACCTCAGATCGCCACCCGATGGCATGCAAATCCAGTGTAATCGGGGCACACGCTTCTTCATAGTGCACAGTAGGGCCCGGGGCTGTGGGGTCGCAATGGTCATGGAACAGCGGTGGTGCGCAGTCGCCCCCACGGGAGCCGGCAATGAGCCAGGAACAACAATTTTACAGTAAGACAATTCGCCCCCTATATCCAAATACCATTCGACCATCACACCTCCAAGTGTGCTAGTACATTAAGACACAAACACAATGGACTATACAAAACGGGCCTCCAGTCACCACCAAAATAGCTCCAGAACTCCCCCTACTAGTGTAGTATAAGGTTATGCACCTTTAAATCACCCATAAATCAGTATATTTAGATAATAATGAAGATGACATCCTTCTTTCGACACAGAATATTACCCTCAAGCACCCTAAAACTCAGAAATTGTTACCGGGGTGGATTGGCCCCTTCACCATCCTCGAGTCGAGGACCTCGACTGGATAGGTTTTGTCGTATAGTGATTAGAACTCCCGGAAAGCATAAGTAAGATATACCCAGTTTTTCATGTATCAAAGCTCAAGCCTTATAAGGTTAGTTGCAGAGTACAACCACCACTAGTCTCTATTGAGATTAAGGGGGAATTGGAGTATGAGGTCGAATGCATCCTTGATAAAAGGGTTAAAAAGCGTGGCCATTGACAGGACTCTGTTGAGTACCTTGTCAAATGGCTGGACTACGGCCATGAACATAACAGCTAGGAATTAGCAAAAACAGTTGCCAATGCATAAGAACTGGTTTAAGCATTTTAAAATAGCAGAACTCCTATTGCTAATGTACAAAGTAGTCATAGTACGAGACATACACATTGATGTGAGCATGTCTATTCTCCTGTGTGTGATAGGCACTCCTGCGGTGGGCACAGGAGAACGCCAATTCCCAAGGAAACCGGTCCCACTCAGACTTTGGATATATGAACGCCATGTCCATCGCCATCATAAGCGGCAAAAAGATACAAGGTGAAGGATTGTTCGTGTCAGCCACTGCCCATGGTTGTGGTAGAGGCAAAGACCCGGGCTACACCCAGAGGGGTTGTGGTCATAGATGGATAGTCCGGGGCGGTCGCATGGGGGGCCGTGCGGGTGATCCCTGTGTGTCCTGAACATTCCTTGGGTATGTGCAAGCCAAGAGGCCATAGAGTAAAAAGTTATATATTATAGAGTAGTATTGATTTTCTAGCTTGTAAACTAAAAGAAGAGCTTTAATGAGGGTTGTAAGCAGGAATATTCTCAGTGTAACAACCACCCTTTCTCTTCAATATATGTTTCGTCAACAATATGTGTTCGATTGGGCATGTGGTGAGACACACAACTAGTCTCTACATATAGCAGGCTTGTTAGCCATACATGCGTCTACTCCTATATTTGCATACTGGGATGGGGACGTCCCACATCCCTGAAGGGGACGAATATTATGCACATAGGCCTGATGTGGGGAACGCCCTACTAATGGTCTCTTGGTGTGGGGGACGCCCTGCCCAAGATATGGCAACAGAACCCAAACCAGACCTTATAGTGTTATACGATATGGGAGTAGGCCGGGGTGGTCCCGCCTAGGTCCCTGTAAGGCCCTAGGTGCCTGTCAATGGGGGTCCGCGGATTAAGGAGGGCAGGCGCCCCATACCACTAACGTTGTTGTGTCAAAGGGGGTCACAGCCGCATGGTAGCAAAAACAATCCTAAGGGGATTGTTTGGAGATAGCCGGAGGGATCAGGATGTGGAGGGCGAAGTTCCCAATCTGCCCAAGCAACACATTTAAGGAAGGGTGCTTGAGGGACAGCGCCCTCCGGAGATAGATGTGGGGGCCACGGATGGGGAGGTCCGAGGGCGTTTCCGAAATAGGGAAAGCCTTTCCAGGAAAAATGAGCATGCAAATCCATGGGGGGAGGGGGGGCTTGCCCCCACCCCTACTATAGGGGGTTGCTTGGGGAACCCACCTGGAAGGAATGGACCAAATTAATGGTAGGCCGGAGGGGGTGCAAGGGGGTGTGAGTGCAGGAAGTGAGATAGCAAAGGGCACCTGTACCACTGACCACTAACTCAACAGGGCGCCCCCGGGGATTTGTGACAAGTGCGCATATCGGACAAGGATCGGGCACTATCACGTCGCCCTATATGCTAGGTTATTGTGCAAGGCTTGGCACGTGGGGGCTTGACTGCAATCAGGCCAAGGATCTTATTATGGTTTAAATGGGGTCATTATTAGGCTATGATGGTATTGATCAATTGCAAATTTAATTTGCAATTGAATGGTACTAAATTTCTGTTTTTTTAATAAGTTTTGAAGATTCTAGGGTTGCAGAAAGAACGAGTTTAGTGGACCCTAAGAAACAACCTTAGTTTCCGATGATGTTTGGGATATGTCGAGCTGAAGGGTTAGGTATAATTGAGATGGAAATTTATTAGTTTATTTTAGGAGTAGTGGAGGTGGCTCTCAACCCTAGCCTTGAGAATAGCTTAGTTTATGATGAGATATATGCGAATCTATGCATGTCCTACGAGATTTTTAACAAATCGTGGTCGGGACAGGTGGACCACCCCTTGCAACATGCCGATTGCAGTCGTGGAGGATGGGCGAATGGCCACCATTCTTGAGTGGCGAAAGGGTCGTGGCTACCCCAGCCATCATGATGTCAATGACTTTTCTGACGATCTAGAATGTTCCAGCAACTACGGCTTGCATAACTTGGTATACAGTTTATAATTTGGTTGCCAGATGGCTGTGCCATATTCGACAAGCCCTAGAAGAGGGCGAATGACATGCAATCCGCCCTTCTTGAAGAATGGGATGAGGTGATGCACAGGGATGGTGTTTTGTTCGATGTGACAGAGGGTGCGACTACGATTTTCACCCAGAGCTGTGACATGGCTGTTCTTTCTCCACTCCTCAAATCGGGAATTCTGTTTGGACTTGAATCGATGGTGTATAGAGGGCCGAAGCCATCAGCTCTCGAGCCTCAAGAGGATGCCCCAAGTGTTGAACACCATCCATGATAGCAGCTGGGCATGGGCAGCATGGCATGGAGAATCTGCGGTACCATGCTCATCGGATTGAATAAAGCTGACGTAGATGGGGGCCGTGAAGGCCACAGAGAATGTCAAGGTGAGTGGTGCATGGGACCTAGATCTTGTGCCAGATTTGATTAGTTTATGAGTAGATTCGTTAGATTTGATGACAGAGATAGGTTGGGCAACCGTGGGATGCATGGCTTTGACATTTCAGCTGTCACTGTCAGTGCATGACATGCCTGGATAGTGTGCGGGAGATTTGATTGGATTTGGGCAGTCCGTGGTGGCAGTATAAATATGTGACTTTGAATGCTGGAAAATTTTGATGGCATGACACTAGTCATTATGAGAGGGGTAGCGTGGAATATGCTGTGGTATATGCTGTGAGGTATGTGGCTGAGAATGAACATGAGAATGTATATAAACTGGTGGGTCGGCAATGTCGTCAACCTCCAATCTGTAATCTGCTTCTGGTTACAGCTGTGGCAACCAGCCAGGCCTCCTCACCGACTGAGGAGAGGACCAGCGAGGCCAATTGAGTGCCCCTTTCAAGGGAAGGACTCAGGCCCTGTGTGCGACTGGTGTAAGACGGCAGGCGTGTGCGTTTCTGGCCATTTCGACGCCCAGACCCCCCCCACCACGACTGAATTGAAGTCGACTTTTTACTGCTGCCCTTTGGAGAGGTCTGGTAATGGCAAGGCCGCGATCTTTGCAGTATTGAAACGAGTATGGCGCAGCGTCAGAGTTAATGGTAAATACCAGCTCGTTGCAATCAGCCTTAGACGGATAGAGGGCTATCCTGCGCATACTCTCTTTGGGTTGCAACTCGCACATGCTAAAACTGGTCCTGGCTGGCGCATCTCGACATGGGAGGGTGCACATTCGGGTCGCCTGCATTGCACATACGAGGCGGCAGTAACGACGCAGCAGTCGGGCCATGCCTGTGTGCATCACACTGCAAACGTATGTGGCATCTTGCAAGATATCAACCAAGCCAGAAAAGCCTGAATGGCTGCATCAAATGGAAGTTCGCATCCTCCGCACTCTTTTCAGCCCGCTGTCTCCAACCTCCCTTGACAGACTCACACAAACAAATCCACGCAAGAACAAAATGGGTGGGGGGACGACGCTGCATTCTCAGCGAGGCCTGGACGCCGTTCTCCATTGGTCAACGTTACATTGCCACATCGTGGCGAAAAACATCGGCACCTTTATTGAAAAGCCAAACTGCCACCCCATTCCGCATGCCCACCAAGGTAACTCTAGAGACAATTGCACATGGGCAACACGTAAATCGGGGCAAGCAACACGCCTACCACCAAGAACTATGCACAAGCACGTCAATCCGTCATACTTAACCAACACCGACTGCCACCAATCCACCCTTATTGGACAGAGGAAACATGATCTCCTGGTCAAGACATCGCCTACATCGGCCACTTAGTGTGATGTTCATGTCCGCCATGGGTTGTCCCCCCCCCCCCCAAAGTTCTCTAGATGAATTCGAAGCCGGTTCTTCTGCATCTTCATTCTACACACACTGCTTCGCCACTGTCCACACCACCCCTCAGCCAACAAATCGAATCCTGGTCGTCCTTTTTCGCCGAACCATGGCACACCACCGCACTGGCCACGCCACAAAATCGTACCACCCGCCTTCGTATCCTAAACTCTCATTGCACTCCCATGTCACACAGCTCACCCAAATCGAGGTCCGCGCCAAAGCCAGGGCTCCCAGTGTTGACATCTGTGAACAGGGGGTTACCAACATCAGCATCCAACAAGCCATTGCCATTGTCCAAATCGCCCGTGTCCCCGTTCTCAAAGCGCGGGCCCAAGCCCTTCTCCCTGACGGCGTCCAAGCTGGCGTGGTGCCCGTTCTTCTCCGCTGGGTTGTTTGATTCCGGGGTCCCATTCTGCGATGCGCCTGGGCCATCTGTGGACGCAACGCTCGATGAGTTGCCGTTCGTCGACGGGAATGGGCCGCCCGCGTGCTCCTGTGGCGATGGTGCCAACGTCTTATTAGAGCTCATCGGCACGCAGCTGTTGCCCATGGCAGGCATGCTTGCGGCGTCCTGCTTCTGCGCAACTTGCGAGATCGCCACCATCCCGGTGCCCCCATTGTTCGATTCGGCAGCAGCGCTGTACTTCATGGGACCCTGGGATGACCTGGGGGCCTGCCTGAGCGAGCTCCAAGTCTCGTCGATCTTAGCGGGGGCGGCACCGGCAGACCCGCCCGGATTGCCGCAGCTGCCGACAGTGGACAGCTGAGGGGACAGAACCACGTTCTGGCCTCCCTGCCCTGCCATTCCACTGCCATAGGAGGGCTTGGCGAGCGTAGCCTGAGAAGCGTAGGTCTGAGCACGCCCCTGCGCCGCTGCAGTGTAAGATGCTGCCGCTGCATGCTGGGCACCAATCACTCCTGGTGTGACCCCGTTGGCCGCATACTGCCTGCCCTGCAGCCCCCTCGCCTGCTGGAGCTGCTGCTGCATGGCTTGGAACCTCTGCTCCTGGAGCATCCTGACGTGTGGAGAGTACTGCTGCGCACCGACGTTGCCCACAATTTGTTGGCCGTTCAGCGGGGGATACACGGCATGCTGCTGGGCGTTTCCGCTCGTATGATCCACGAAGGTCATCACTGGTCGGCCATGAGGAAGCGAGCCACTCAACAAGGACTGGCCTCCTGAGCCCACAGGGACCACCTTCGTCCCCGTGCTGTTCGTTGTGGAGTCAAGTGATGACCTCCTAGCAGCTGAAACACATCAACAGCATCACGACCAGAAGTCCAGGCAACCAAGAAGGGCAGCATTCCGCGTGCAGGTTCAGTGTACACGATGCACTCTGCATGCTTCCGCAAACAGCAACAAGGGCACAGAAACGACCAGCACAGAGCACACGGAATCTCTCTTACACAATTGTTCATGTTTAATACAGATTTGGAGCAAGCCACAAACTGCCACAGATATCCATCAGCCTGGCCAGTGAGCAGTTGCATTGGTACTATCAACGCGTCCTCAGATAAACAATACAAGAAGACAAGGAGACAAGGATGCCCGCAGGACAAGTAGACGGCGAACTACACACTATCATACCATGCAATAACCTGTGCTTCATCATTACACATACTCGGTTTCAGAGGGCTCGCCTAAAAGGGGTCGTGCATTGCTGCACTGCCAGCTGTGGATTCAGCAAGCAGACTATTTCTGCCAAGCTATGGTATTCCTAACACTGACCAGTTCCGAGCAGCTGAACCAGCTGAATGCAAGCACAACCCATGTTGAGTTGTGGGGAGCAGCTGAGTTGTGAAACCAGAGGGTGACCAGTTCATCACTTGTAACACATGCCCTTTGGCCAACATAGTGGGGCTGGCATCCAACCATTAATCACTGACTGTATGTTGAACAATAAAGTGAAAAGGATTATCACGCATTCACCTCCCCTACTTTTGCACGCAGCTTCTGCTTCGCTGGGCACAAAACCTGGGTGCATCGGTCTGTCTGAAAGGGCTTTGTCTTGGACAAGGCCATGGCCAGGCATTCGGGCGTACATTCGAGCCTGTTGTGCAGACTGCTGCATTGCCAAGCCTGGGGAAAGGCCAGCAGCAGGCCCCATGTTGGAACCACCATGATCCAGCTTAAATCGCTTGGCTTGCTGTGACAAGAACAGCAACAACGGATCATTTCAACTGACTTCATTGCACCAGCAGATCGAAAGTCATCAGTTAAGAGTTCTTCACAAGAACACTACTGCAGCATACAGCTGCAGATCAAGCATCCTACTGAGAATGAATAGACATTTGTCCTGCTGCACGCATAAAGGTGGCTGTCCAGCAGCAACATACTACCTTGCATCTTGAACACCAAACCCTTTGCCACAAAGTTCCACTTTCTGTCAGGCCAATCACCTTCAAAGTCAAGAGCTGGACACACTGCTGCAGCAGCTCACCTCGTAATCCTGGATGTTTGACACGACCCACGTGTCTGACCTCCTCCCCATTCCCTCAGGCACTTCCACAGGGAGGCCTGAGTTTTTCCTTGCGGCACAGCCTCCTGGGGAGGACTCCCACAACGTCATTGCCCCAGAAAGATTAGTCAAAGAGACATACAGAAACACACAGAGTCAACAAAGCACTTTGTCGCCACAGCCTGCTGCTTGCAAGATGTGCCACACGGTTCTGCAAAACAACTGTATGTTGAAGATATATATGCTGGAACGAAACAATAGCAGCCCTGCCCTGAAGACAATCCAGCTCGTTGGCACCCAGAACACGTCCTGCCATGGATGATGCTCATCCACCATCCCTGCTTCCCTACAACAATCCCAGGCGCACCTTGCATCCCAGCAAGCAGCTCTTGCCTCTGGTCTTGCTGAAGCAGGTAGTGCGCCTGCTGGCCCCAGGGGCTGACGCCCATGTCCTGCTGCTGGTGCTGCTGGCCAAGCAGGCCCGCAGCACAGTCCTGATCCTGAGCGTGAGCCTGTATTTGGGCCTGGCGAGCTTGCAGCTGGGCCTGATGGACCTGGGTTTGCGCGTGCACCTGGGCATGGGCCTGAGCTTGAACCTGGGCTTGAACCTGGGCCTGAGCTTGTGCCTGGGCGGCCTGCTGTGCCTGTGCCTGGGCTTGCGCCTGCTTCCTCTTAAGGAACAGCAGTTGCTGTATCTGCTGCTCGGTCATCACCCTGGTGGGTGCCTCCCTGCCCAGTTCGCCGCCCAGGGAGGACAGCTGAAGCGCCAGACAAGGTGGGAGTGAGGCACAGGCAACGGAGGGCCAAACGACAGACTACTGGGCACCCAACCTCCATCACAGTCCAATTTTTCAGTGCTGCCCCCGTGGCCGCCTTTGCGTGTCAGCAGCCTCCAACAGCGCTCCGCGCGCCCGGGCGTCCCAAAACCTCTTTCGGCAAAAAGCACGCTTGCGACCGCCGCAGTTGCAACGCGGAAGGCCATCCGACCCTCTGAGCACCCTCGCACCGCAAGGCGATCCACATTGGCAGCGTCCACCACCATATTCTGCAGATTCCGTCCAGCTGTCGTTCGAAGTTCGGGGCGCGGCGATCGCCGTCCGCGAGACGGCGACCCTGAGTCACACTTTCCCGGTCGTGACCTAGCTGGCAGCCCCCGCCCACGCAACGCGATCGGGTCCCAGCCTCGCCGAGCGGGCCTCTGGCAGCTCGAAGCGGCAGAAGCAAAGCGGCGCACTGACCCGGGCGCTCCGGTACAGTCGGTAGTGCCTGCCCAGCCTCATGCCCGCCGGACGGGACCCGTCCGATTGCCCACGGCCGAGAGCGGCGATTCACCGCCGCTGCAGCCGATTGGCTACGCTCTAGAAACGCAACTGACGCCACCGCAGTCCGTCGCAGCGGCCAGTTTCGACAGTGGGCCAGGAGACCGTCGCCATGGCTGGAACGGAGGGCAGGGCAGGGGGATGCTCCGGGCAAGGCGCACCAGAGCAATGTGGCAAAAACTGGGCGACGCAAAAGCGCCCGGCGCTGCTCGGGGACGCCAATCCGCCGCCGCTGTGCCAGCCCGCGGCGGAGGCGCCCGGCGACCCACCCCGCCGGGGACGGCCGCCGCAACCTCGTCAGCCCAACGGGGGACGGCCTCGTGCGCTCATCAGCGCCCGAGCGCTGGTGCGCGCCCAAGGATCGAGCGCGCCGCCCCCACCCCTCGCCCCCGTGCGCATCGCCGGCCCCGCCGCGGGGGCCCAAACCCGCGCGGGAGGGCGTCCGGCGGGAGCGGCTGCATCGGGCGTGACGTCAAGGCTCGGCAAAACGATCGGTCCTTGGGCGTCGTCCGGGACAGTCCGCGACCAACTACCCGCGCTCGGCCCCCGCAGCCCCGACCGCGGCGAGATCCCTTCGCAAGGCCAAGCCGAGGCGCATCGCGGCGGCCAGGGACAGGCCTGCAGGATTTGAGCCTCCACCTCAGACCGTTTTCTGCGCCGACGAGGACCAGCGAAGGGCGGTGAAGTGGGGCGCGGGGGACGCTCACGAGGGGGGCGCTCACCTCCGGCTGCTGCGCCCGCAGGACCATGTCGCCGGCGGGCTGAGCTCTCGAAGCCACGCGCGCCTCCCACATCTGGAGCCACCACTCCCAAAGGCCGGGCACCTGGGTGGCTGCGAGCAGGCGGGCAGCACAACCACGGGCGTCAGGCCGCGCCACCCGCAACGGCGCGCGCGGACAGCGCGGGGAAGCACACATCCACAGCACGCCCGGGAGCAGGGCGCGCGAGCAGGGCCAAGCATCCCTCTCCAGCCCCCCACCTGTGTTGGACATATCCAAGCCCGCCTCCGCGCAGAACGTCTCCGCCGATCGCACCATCTTCTTCTTCCTCAGGTAGTCCAGGATGTAGATGTGCAGCCTGCGCGACACACGGCCGCAGGCTCAGCCCCTGGCCAACGGGCCCCCCCATCACACCCCCGGCCCCCGCTCACACTCCCCGCCCCCTCTGCCCCATCCGAGGCCAAGGGATGCGCACCAAGTGGCCGGCCCGCTGTCCATGCCGCCCGCGGCCCTCGGGGAGAGCCCCACACGCCCGGGCCGCTCGTCCGTGGGCGGTTGCATGCTCCAGCCCGCCGGCATGCGCCGCAGAAGGCCGCCGGAAGCGAGCGCAAGGCGGGCTCGCACTTCTGTGGCTTCCGAAGTGGCTGGGTCAACAGCCCGGAATGGGGCCGCCCCAGGCCGGCAAATGGGCGCCGGGAGCACATCGGGGGCCTCAGTAATGACGTCGATTAGGCGACATGGGCCCTGAGGTGGGGAGGGCGCCGTGGTGGCCGTGCGCGAACGCCCAGCAGATCCCCAGAATCCACGGCGTCGCTCCAGATTCCGAGTCGCAGGGTCGACACCGGACTGGACGACCAGTCGGCCCCACCCGTGGCGGAGGGATTGTGCGGGTGTGCGCTCGAGCACACTCGACTCGCTTGTGCCCGTTCGCCTTCGGGCGGGGGAGTGGTCTCGTCGCATTTTCACGCAAACCCCGAAATCGATCCGCATCCGTGCGCCGCTCTGTGGCGGAACCTCGGACTCGGGGACCGTTGGCGATGTTGCGTGTTGCTGCACGTTTAATCTGGGGGTCTGACGGCTCGGGGAAAGACGTCTCGGGAACCGTGTCACGCGAGAGATGGGAGCGTCAGCAGCAACAGCGAACGGCGCTCTGCACGTCGGTGCAGCTGACTTGGAGCAGCCCAGCGAGCGTCCGGAATGGGCGGATGCAGGCCAACACAGCGAACCACACGACGTTTCCCGCCCAACTTCGTGACGAAGTCCAGCCTTGCACACGTGATAGTCCACAGTTGCGTCGTCACATCCCAGGCAACCGTTGAGGCCGTGGAGGCGTTGAAATATGCCACGCCATGCCCCAAAGAAAATTCGATATTGTCAAATTCGCTTGTGGTCATGTTGCCTCTTCGCATGTTGAGCGACACATGCGCGACACATGGCGATTGACTGGGGGACGCAGCACCGTATGGACCAGCCAGAATTTTGGAATGGACATCCGCTAATACTTGTTAACAAGCGAACAAAGCACGCTGGAATAAGGGCGAACACTGGACGCATGGTGTACACACCCACAAATGAGCACCCAACGCGCTTGTGGGTTACAGTACATTTGTGCTGATTAAAAGAGGCGGAAATGCTGCTACGGGGCTCGAGAAAATAATCGCAGTGGCGCAAGCGCGGCAGTTTCTCGTGATGGCAGCGCCATGAGCGGTTTATGTCGCTTCTGCTGCGATCTATTGCAAGTCAGGGCTCGCCAACACTGCACAAAATAATAAGTTTGATGGGGACCCTGAGAAAAGTGGATAGACCATCATAACCATTTGGCAGGGCCCTAGGTCCCAGGATTGAAGTTTTCCTGCCTTGCATCTATTGCGCTGTGTTGCAAGGGGTGGTTGTGAGGCAGCTCCACAACTAAAAGCGAAGTCTTGGCATTTTAGGACTAAGAAGTGCGCCCCCTTTTGGAGGCAAGCACCCGGGGGCGGCCAAATTTCCAATACAATTGATGGGAAAGCTAGGGTTCATGGAATGAAAAAATGGCAAATGGAACATTAAACAGCCGCATTTCCTCAAGCAAATTTGAATCGGTTCTGCACCAACGCTGTCTTGCACTTTTTAGCAAGTCCTTAACAAAGGCACAGGTGCCCTGGGCTTGTAGTTACAGACAATTCCAAAACTGACTCCGCCAATTCGGGAATAGGCCAGTTGTCCCAGATGCGGGACATGATAGATACCTACAGCGGGTATGAGTCCTCCAACGTGTGCTTCACCCTGCTGCAATAACTTCGCGAAAGCTGGACGAGCGGCGCCGCAGCCGTGAAGCGTGCACAAGAATGTTTTCTGATACCATTAGTGAGCTGGGTGCAACGGTGAGCTGGTGTGAGTCCAATGCAAGATGCAGCTTGGGCAGAAATGAATTCAGCTCGATGGCAGTGGCGGTCGCTGAGCAGGAGTTGCCCAGCTGAGAATGTGGATTCTTCGTGTGGGAATGCCGCTCCGATCGGGTGCATTGCGACACAGGCAAACAACTGCAGAATTGCTCTGTCGATCGCTTGTCGTGCTTGTCACAACACACACAACTGCACAATGCCCTTGACATTGGCGGCAATTGGCGCGGAATACACGGCCACGATCACATCACTGGGGTCACTGTTGATCATACGAGCATGCAGCTGTTCACAAATTCTGTGAAATGGGCAGACTTTGCCTGTGTGGCTGCCCACTGATTCAGCAATCATGCATCACTCATGCTGATTATAAATCTTTTTGGTTATGTCTGTTAAAAATCTGAAATCACTGCACTTGAAGCGCAACGTTTGCCCCCTGAGCGTGATGAGGGGAATTCATTCTGAGCACCCAATACGTATACAGAGTGCTGACCACGATTACTGGACGGCAGCTGAAAACGGCAATACGGAAAAGAATGTACATAAAGAAGATAGACCACTGGGGCTGGCCTAGGAGTGGAATGAGTAAATCCTGTAATGGCATCATTCCAATCCGACATAGCGTACCTGGGCACTGAATAATTGGGTTAGATGACCTGTCAGATACGCCCAAATTACGCCCATAAAAATGCCAGTAGATGCTCACCGAATGACCGCCTGGGGTGGGTTCACATGTATGAGACATGAGGATTCTCGCTTGCAGCAATGAGGGCTTCAACGCTCGAAGGCTTACCAGAGGTAATTCAATGGCCACTTTTTTAGTTATCCATTCTGTGACGATCCCCTTAACCAGGGAGAGGGTGCCAACCGGCGGCGGTCGTGTCCTGCTCAGGATTTCATGTACCCTTGCCGCACTTGTACTCGAGCGGCTCGCTGATTCCTTGACTCGCTTTAGATCCACTCACCAAAGCCCCCTTCCTGGCTCCTTGTCTTTCTTCCGAGGGTTCGCCCTCTGATCATCTCGTGCTTCACCAGCTTTGTGTTTAGTTGAATATATTATAATCACACACGCTGATCCGCTTATTGTCAACTTAATGCGTGCTAACGCGCCATGCCCAGGCTTGGAAGCTCCATTTTGGACAGCTCGGGCGGGACGTCTGGCGAAATTGTGCAAACATGCGCTGGGCTCGAAAACCCAACCCAACCTGCACATGCCCATCACATGCACATGCCCCTACACATGCCCAGCACATGCCCCTGCACATGCCCAGCGAGGCTCAAACAAATGGCAAGATGAGAAGGAAAGGCCACCTGCTTCAAACCCTTCAGCTGCCAAGTACGAGGCCGGCAGGAAGCTGGCGCCCGGGCCACAGGGACCATCCCAGGCCGTCGCCGCCTGGATCATTGCGCAAGTTTGGGCACCCAAGGTACCGCCCCAAGTCGCCAAGGGCCGCGCCTCCCCGCCGCTCAACCCGGTGCAGCCCTCCGCGGGCGGGTCCCCGTCCCCGACGAACATGCCCCCGGCGGCGCTGACCTCCCCTGCTCTCCTGGCGGCCCCAAGAAGTCGGCATCAAAGTCGGAGAGGCAGAGGCAGCGGGAGGCGGTTGCGGCTCCCCCGCGACTGGCCCCCCGAGCGAGCGGAGCCCCTGGCAGCGAGTGGGCGCGGAGGGGCGGTGCTCTGCATCACGAGCGGGACTGGTCGCGTGAGTGCATCCCTTACCCCCGCCCCCCACCCCACCCGCCCTCTTCCCGCCGGGAGCTGAGGCATCGATGGCGGCAATCGCCCCATCCGCCGGCCAATAGACGGCGTCTTGTGACTGTGATCGAATCGTCGGCGTGCTGGCGATGATAGCGTGGAGGCTGTGGCCAGCTGGTCGCAGCGCGCCCTTGGCGGTGCTGTTGTGGTCATTTTGGCGCCCATAGGACGGATACCTTGGGACGCTGCTGAATGGCTGCGCAAGTGGTGATGACAGCGCAAGAACAGGGGCCACAAGGTGATTTTGGTGCCGTGGCTATGGACGGGGCCGAGGCTTGCCTATGTGCGCCGGCTGTGGTTGATGTCTTTGGCGTCGACGCTTGGCGATCGACAAGTCCAGAGAAGCATCGCTTAGAAAATTAGTTGACTATTCTGAGTTCGGCGAGTTCGTGCTGGCGCCAGGTGGACAAGCTCAACGCGGAGGAGCTCGAGGTGGCAATAGCCGAACGGGACGTCCCACTCGTAGTTGATTTCTATGCCACGTGGTGCGGTCCTTGTGTGCTCATGGCCAGGGAATTGGAGACTGTGGCTGAAAAGTTGGGAGACAAGATCAGAGTTGTGAAGGTACTCCCCTGTGCTTTTACGCTGCAGCGGAATGGACATCGTCATCGTTGCTCTTCCACATTTGGCTTTTTTTGTGTGCAAGATTTGCACTGGTGGCCTTGTGATTTGATCATTGGTTTGGTGTGGCAAGCCCTGTTGTTGTGGCAGTTTTCAGCAGTCAACCATTGTTCCCAACTGTTGTGACCCTTCGTTGTGCAATGAAGGTCGACACAGACGAAAATCCTGAATTGAGCTCGCAGCTCCGGGTGAGCAGACGGTCTTTTGTTTGTTTGTTTGTTTGTGTGTGAGTGTGTGTTTGTTTGTTTGTTTGTTTGTTTCTTCCTTACATGGATGCATCGACATGACGTCACGGCATCGATCAATGTAGCGTACCATCCAGTGTGCGAGGGGCACGTCCAGGCCCAATTCTATGTGTGTGTGTGTGTGTGAGACATCTGCTGATAATCTGAGTGAAAGCCTCATTGAACCTGCTCAAGCTCAGTACCAATACAGTGTGCCAGTGACAAATATCTGGCCAGCGAAGGAGTTTCCTGCTGCTTTGTTATCTCCTGCTGATGGCCATCCGCACTGCCAAAGACACTGTTGCTCTGCTGCTCTGCCACACGTTCAGCCATTGCTTTTAGTATTATCATTACAATTTCTTTGCACGTGAGTGGCCAGGATTTCTTATCCTGTTCAGGATGATGTCCATGCTTCTGGTGTACAGTGAGTTCACGAATATAACGAGGGGACAGTATCCATGGATTCAAGTTGTGGCACGATCAGTAATTCTTGGCAAAGTTAGCAGCCAGATTGTGGACTAGGAATGATGGCGCAAAATTCAAACTTGGCATGAAAGCCAATGGCATACACCAGTGGGGCGCGTCAGGAATCTGCACAATCTGCGTCCCTTTCACAGCACGACATGGACAATGTTTGCATAGCAATCGTCCACTTGTAGGTTGGTGGGTGTATGTATACATCGCATGAATTGTCCCGGAACTGTTGTAAGACACAGGCAACTCTCAGATGTTTTTTTTCGCATGTTCCCTCATATGTTTTGATGGTCCTGCTGTAATTCCAGATTCAAGGGCTTCCCACACTGGTTTTCATCGGCAAGGATGGTTCAAAGCCAGCCCTGAGGGTTGAAGGGCTGTTTCCTGCTGAAACGGTTATGCAGATTTTAAGAGATGAGATGCAGGTGGTGCTTGACATCGAGGGGGCTGATGAATAGGTAGACACATACTTGGTGGGTGGTGGGATCGAAAGCCACATGGGGTAGCCATTTCGCATTTGCTATCCTTGAGGGCTGATGTTGCCGTGTGAAAGCAGTTGTGCCCTTGCCCAGAAAATGGAACCTCTGCAGAGGAGTGTCTGCCAACAGTTGCATTTGTCTACTGGCGCTCTACTTGGCAGACTGAATGATTACTTGTGGATGAGAACGACCATCCCAAGTCACATTGATAGCCTATGTCACGGGATGGATGGCAAAGAACACTCATTTCTTAAATTATATGGTCGGACAAAGAGCAGCGGTAACTTGTTGGGATACCACTGCAGGGTGTGCATTTTCAAGCTGTCTCTATCAAGTCATTCCCAATTTGGATTTTTGAGAACCAATAATAATCCCGCTTGATGGTCCATGGCCTGACTTGCAGCCTCCATCCATAGCGAATCGCTATAAGCGATTGATCGCAGGTCTTAAGAGCCAGCGGTGGACGCAAGCACCAAGTGTACTCCTGTAGGGTATTACCAGAATTGAATCCACCACATGCGCAGAGTTTCGATCAGGTGCCAGGCCTCCAAGTTGTGCCTTGGGGTGTGTCCATCATGGAAATACCCGACTTTAGCAGCTTGGCACGGAGCTCATCAGCCTTGGCAAAGTCTTTAGCCTCTCGTGCCTGCCAACAAGAGAGTATGGTCATCACCTTATGAGCAGTGTAAGAGCTTTGGAGCAGCTACCATACAGCCGAATTGCAACTCACACATTGCAGTAGAACTGCATCAAGCAGACTGCCAACCTTGCAGTGTCAACAATTTCAGGGCTTCGCCTGGCCCGTTGTTTTCGAAGGTCCAGTGCCAGTGCTTCGTCGTGTTCTGGTGAGTGTGCTGCAATGGAATAGCTCACTTTATCACACTCCTTTTGCGCACCTGTGCTCGTTCGCCGATGATCCTCTGCACATCTTCTTCAGACAACCCTGCACGGTCAAGTGCAAGCTGTCGCATCTCCTGCAACTGGCGCTCGGGATCATTGGAATCGATGCCAAGAATCCCCAGCACAGAGCGAACGCCCTCCACACATCCAGCAAGGATTTTGAGGCGCCCTTTGGTCTTCCTGCCCTGCCGCAGGGGTAAAACAAAATGATGTTGTTATCCACAGGGGCAGTTCGAAACGGCACATAATGGATGCACACACTCGTTGCAGTGCGCTCTTGCTTCCTGGGCATGGTGTGCGACCGACAGTGCATATGACCACAGCATGTACACAGGGGCGGGAACTTGGCATGGGCACAAAGGACTTCCATCCACACTACTTCCACGCACTTGACGTTTCCATGTTCTTTCAAGGCGGATTCGCCAGCAACTACAGCATCCCTGCAAACATGGGAGCAACGCCCCCAGCCGAGGTCGTGGGTGCCCTGCTCAACAGCAAGCAGATTCCTCAACGAATCATGCCGTTCCTCTGCCCCCGTTTCCCTCCCCTGAAGAATGAAATGGCGAACGAACACGCACAACAGGAAGAAATCGAACGACAAAAAATTGCCTACCTTCTTCGTGTGCATTAGTTCATTCATAGATTTTAATGCAGAATACAGCGCAGCCAGCGCCACGGCCGTGTTCAGGTCATCACATAGCGCCTCTTCTGCCGCAGTGACGAGGTCCCTTCCCGTCCCTTCCAAGTTGCTTGCGTCGGGGGACTGGCTGGAGCCGTGAACAACGTCGTTTTCACCTGGGCAAGAACAGGATGCAGCAAAGGCATGAAGAGAAAGAACAAGGCAACATTTTGAGTCTGTGTGTGCACTCAAACATGCAGCGAGTTGTGGCTTTTCCCCTTTCTAGCCCCATCGTCTGACCAAATGTCCTTAGCCATCGTATTTTGAACGCACACAATAGCCATTCGCACAGGTGGTGTCGTGCACGAAAGGCTCCGCAGAAACGCTGTCCGCAACAGAGAGTGCCATGCACAAGACAGAGGCAATGCTGCAAGCATAGGCAAGGTGACTGGGACACTGAATGGGTACTGCAGACTTGACCCTTATCCCAAGTGGCTACATCGACAGAGGAATCTTCCAATTCGACAAACGAGGTGCTTCCAACGCCCTTTTGTACAATGGCATTACACAAGAGGGACATGTTCTGGACACCCTGAAGGATGGCACAGGGGTTACGCATAACCCAGACAAGTGAAGCCCAAATCATGGGAATGGCTGCGCCACATCCATGACAAGGGCAAATCCTCATTGTACACTGCGTTTGATCAGGACACAGCTACCTGCAGCAGGCAGCGTGGCTTCTGCATCCAGCAGTGTCTGAAGCATGTAGTATACAGCCTGCCCTGCCTCCTCCAGGCCCCTAGCAGTGTAGTTCAGAGGCTGTCTGTATTGCATGGACAACAGTAGCCACCTCAGCGCCATGGGGTGGTGCTTTTGCAGCACATCGCGAATGGTGAAGAAATTCCCAAGGGATTTCGACATCTTTTCGCTGTCCACGTTGACAAAACCGTTGTGTACCCAGTAACGCACGAAATCCGTCCCATTCAGCATGAGCTCTCGATCACATGGTGCTGCTGCTGCCTAACAGGAGCACACGTGCACAGGTATTCTCTCAGCATTTAGTCTTGTGACATGGCCATACATCTACTCAGAGATTTGTGTCCACCGCCACTTGCCTGTGATGGTGATTGAACGAGCGCTATCTATCTGTACGTCTATTGTCTGCAGGGATCCAATTTGGCATTTGCAACAGAGCCCCTTTCTTCCTTTGTTGCCACATGTATGACACTCTGGAAGTAATCATCAAGCTGCTGTGCAAGGAAGCGCTCTTCCCAGAAAACAAACGCCAACAGAAATATGCATAACCCTGAGGAAAATGTTTGTCAAGGGACAACCAGGTACTTTGCTTTGGTAATTGTGCTCTGTATCCTCTAATAGGTGCAGGGCGACGCTTTGCAGTACTTTGATCAACGTACTTGATGATCACTGATGCTCTCAGCCTCACCAGACACAATACATTCCATTTCCTACCTGTGACTGTGCCAGCTCGTTTTCGTGGTGAGGAAAGACCAAATCGCTCCCTCCTCCATGAATGTCCAGGACAGGCCCAATAAGTTCCTTGATCATGCAGCTGCATTCTATGTGCCAGCCTGGACGGCCCTGGCCCCAGGGACTTGGCCATGAGGGCTCACCGGGCTTTGCAGATTTCCAGAGGGCAAAATCAGCTGCATTCTTCTTGCGCTCGTCCACAGCAACCCGCTTTCCAGCCCTTCACACAAGCAAACAACACGTCTGACTGTGGGAGGCCCTCCTGACAAGCAGACAGGTGAGCAAAGTTGTGGGCAGTTTTCGACCAATCGTTTCTCTCTCTTTTCGTGTTGATGCAAAGTATGTGACTAAAGAATGGAACCAACACACAGGTGTTGCTGTTGATCATGTTGCAAAGACTATCAACAATGCCACATGCTTCTTCTGCATCCTGTTTAATAATTCCATATATCGCTCACAGCTTTGAATTTCATCACCAAGATGAGGGCCACTGTTGTCGTACTGAACACTGATACGTCGACATCGCACCTGTTGTCTTCTTGGGTCCTCCCTGACAGTCGACCATAGCCCTGGCATGATTCTGTGTCAAAGTACACATCCCCATGTGCCTCGTATCCATGCCCATTGCTCAAAATCGCCTTGATCATCTCAACCATCTCATTGATGTACTCTGTTGCCTTTGGCTCCTTTGTTGGCAGTCTGCATCCCAGCAGTTGCATGTCAGTGCGGAATTCCTGAATGAACTTTTGGGTGAGGACGCTGACGTCCTGTCCCTGCTCATTGGCCCGCTTGATAATTTTATCATCAATGTCTGTGAAATTTCTGACGTAAAGGACGTCATAGCCCAGCCACTCCAGCAGCCTGTACAGGACATCAAAGGTGACGTAGGCACGGGCATGTCCTGCACACACGAACAGGACAAGATTCACATGCCCGAATCAATCAAACTTGATTCTATCCCAACAAGAATCTAACAGTTATCGTCCACCCAGTTGCCTGCGCCCTTCAAGTAGCCGCCTGCCAGTTGAGCTCCAGCAAGGCTTCAACATCCCGAGCAGAGCATCCTTGCAGGAAGGTGTGCCATTGATCCGGCAGTTTATCAGCAAGTGGGGTGGCATTTGTGCACAACACATTGTTGCAGGCTGAACAGGACAACGGGCAGGCAGTCACTGCCAGAAAGTGACTTCAAAGTGACAATGCTTGAAGCCCCTTTGCACAGGGCAACACTGGTGGCATCCCCATTGCTGGATTCCAGCTTACCGATGTGGCTGTAGTCATATACGGTGACACCACACACATACATTGTGACAGGCCTGGAAGTGGGATGCTGTAGTTGGAAGACCTCTTTGCTCCGTGACATGGTGTTGTACAGCACAAGCTCACGGCTTGAGTTTGGTGGATGATCATCACCTGAGATATGCAGGAACACAGTGCACGATTCGTATTACAAAGCATCAGATGGCGAATGCATCGACAACTTCCCATGGAGGATGGTTGTGATAATCTGTTGGAGGCTGGAGTGAAAATCTTGTTACAACAATGCTATCTTGAGACCTAGTGGCTGACTTCAGTGTAATCCATTGAATTGCCTTTGGCATGACAAGCAGTGCTGTTGCATCTTGTAGGCAATGGTGCCAGCATCCATTCATTTCATACGCTCGCCACCCATGCAGTCAGACAGTGCTACGTCATTGATGTCCCGAACCTGGTGCATGGCTTCAGCAGATGGCTGTATGGTTGCCATTGATGGCCACAGGGTTGCAATCTACACTGTGCATAGCACCATGCTCAACATTTCAGGGATTCATCACAACAGTGATTGTCACCTGTGGAAGCCATGCACATTTGTTTGCTTGAGCATACTAAACCCATGAGATGAGCTGAAACTGTTTGCACTGGTAACATGATATCCACGGCCAGTGCATATGATGGTTGCCCAGTTCAAGTTCACCAAAAAAGTATCAGGTAAACTAGCTCATACTGAACTCTTTCAAGGTTCTTCAATGCATTCTGGCCGTCTGCAGTGTGTGCGGCATTGAGTACTGTGGCCATCAAGGTCCTAAATGTCCACATCCACAGCACTGTTTGTACCAAAAATGCAAGTTTTCAAACTGAGTTGTCTTGTTGCCACACAGTGGAGGTGCATTTTCAAGATTGCTGCAGGTAATGCTGGACATGGCCTGTGGTCCTTTGTCAAACGCACAAGAGCTCCTGGGCTGGCTAACATGGTGCCAATGGAAAGGCTGTGCAACATCCGCTCCACAACAAGCACAACCAGGCGAAGTCACACGTTCATGCTTTTTGGTGAGAGATATGGTAAGGAGAACTCACGTTGAAGCGTTGTGGAGGGCTCAGCAATCGTTGGTCCAGTGGCAGAGTGTTGAAGGCCCCTGATGTCAAAGTGTTGAACGCGGCTGGCTCTTGTGTGTTGGCAGCCAAGAAATGAAGGTCTGAAACGCGCAAAAATTGCAACAATCTGAGTAAATCAAGTGTCTTACAGGGTGAACAAGCCGCAACGTTCTCTTCTCCGGCACTGAAAACAGTGCCATGACACTTTGGCAAGTTCCTGTTGCGTCAAGAAGACTCCTTAATCCCAACGACGCAGGGAAACTGCAACATCTGCATAGGCGTGGGGAACGGAAGTCACGCTGCGAGTTCATGGGACCGTCTGTCTCCCAATTCCCGCCGTTCAATGTTTCGGCATCCAGCTGCTTGATCGTAAATTTCCTGTTCTGCGGACACACATTCGCTAACGGCTTCGCACCCTGATGGCGTCTTCCAACCGCGCGTCTGCAGCAAGTAGCCGATGCGCAGACCGAACCTGCTTGTCGCAGGCATGCCCTCGCGCACGATGGGCATCGCTTCGGAGGCTGGGCGAATGGCGACAGGCATGCCTGGACTCGATCTCTGAAGGGGCTATGCGATTACGTCATCTTCTGCCCATCAGAATTCAGTACATACCGTATTTACCAGGTATTAGTAGGCACCCCCTATTAGTATCCACCCCCCTCTTTGGGGGGTCGAAACCACGCTAGTATCCATGACCCGGTATTAGTATCCACCCCCAAACACAGACAGAAACGAGCAAAGGCACGGATGGTGGCAAGGGAAGTCGGCGTCTGGTGTTGGACCGCATTGCCTAGTCTAGACCAAACCATGTTCCCTGCGATTCACACATCGACGGGGACGATCGGGTCGGAATGGGTGTTGTCGAGGGAGAATTTGAAAGAGGGCCTGGGAAAGGCCGCCGTTTGCGCTCTCAGCGCAGGATCGCAGAGTATCGACCGATGTCGCGGGGCCCAATCAAAGAAGCGGTCGAGAAATCAAAGCCGCCCTGTTTCTGGATTGAGATAACCTGCTCCCTGGCCGGCCAGTTTAGAATCCGGCCTGCCGCCTGCCAAGGGCGCCCCAAGGCCCAGCGCAAGGAATGGGCAGGCGACGGCGTTGCTTGGGGCAGCTGCCGTTGTGAGACCCCGCCTTTCAAAACTGCCTACATAGCACTGCCAAGGCCGGGGCCGTCCCCAACTCGCACATCGTACTAGCTACCAGGCCACAAACACAATCGCAAATCACATCAGCCTTCCCAGCCGCCATCAGCCCCGCAATGCGCCGCGTTTCAAGCTTATCGTTGCGACATTGCACCCCAATGAGTTGAGACACATATCAATCCTTGTTCTTTGCATTGCAGAGGAAAACGCGCCTCAAGCATTCCAGCAAACCCCTAGTGGCCCCAATCGCCAGTCGCCACCACCTGATGCAGCCCCAAGTCAAGGCCGCCAGCTCCTGTGAAGAGGCTGACAACATTCCACACTAGCATTGCCATGCTTGTCCATTTCTGCGCATTTCACAGCCTATTTATCAAAAATTTTCTCTCTCTGCTCTCTGGGATCAGGGATCCAAACTGCGTTAGTATGCATGACCCACTATTAGTATCCACCACTCATTTCGGAGGTCCAATACACGCCTACTAATACCGAGTAAATACGGTAACTGAAAAGTTTACAACATAGCACCAAAGTACGGACACCAGTGCACTGGTTCAGTACGTACCACCAATGTGCTAGACATGTGGTAATTCTAAGGGTTGACTCCTGTGCGGGGACATTAGCAACGTGGAGCTGCAAGTCGCCTGGCCACACGACAGTACATCGTGTTTTAATGACTGTGAGGGCGACATAAAGAGTTGTTAATTAGGAAGAATTGGTGTGAAAGATACGGTGTGAGTTAATAAGGTGAATACATTGTCGAATACGGTGAAACTAATATGGAGACATGGGGAATACAAATTGGATAAACTGGCGGTGGATGTCATTTGATGGCACAATCATCCTGTAATCCACCTGGTAATGCGGCTTTGCTTCCCGTGCCTGGGAGCGAGAGTGTGTGAGGAGCCTCGGTTTTCGTCGGAGTGGCAGTCCAAGGTATTCCTGAAGCCTGATGGTTAATATTAACAAAAGTCCCGGCAATAGAAAGCCTGCGCCTTGCTTGCACCAGTTTGCACGTTTGGGGGTTGACCATGTACTTAAGGAGCTGCGTCCAGCCATTAATTGACATTTCATGTCCCTCCCAAGTAGTATTTTACTTGTGGAAAGTAGCCGGGAAATCCTTGCATTCAAGTGTAATGCTCCTTAATTGGGTGGATCCCGAGGTCCTCTTGATGCGCTCAATTAAGGAATTCCGTTCCTGGAACGGAATGGTGCAGGAACACATCTCCGCATGCCATGATCCTTGCCTCTCATCGCGAACAAACAGATTTATAAGGCGTTGCTCACTACAAACAGGACTGCTCATTGCTGCGGAGAAGAGCAAAAATGTCCAATCAGCCTGGCTCTCCATCAGGCGTCCTCGATGGCTTGCGGCTTCCTGCTGAGCGATTTAGCCTACCGGGAGTTTGCATCAGTCGGAACATTTCTGAAGGAACTATTTCATGGAACGCGTTGGCCTGCAATTCAGTTTCGAGCACACTTAACGCCGAGTTGGTGTCCAGATCAGACCCTGCCTTCGTGGTGCCATCGCTCAGCGCTAGTAAAAGGTCGGACATAACCGACTAGAAACGCAAGATCGCCAGTGTATTGAGTTAGCGGCATGCTTGGAAAGTGTGTGCCTATGTTGCAGTTGTGTATCGTCTTGTAGAAGATGTTCTCAATGGTATTTGGAGCCTAGAACAACGCCAAGCGCCAGCGATAGCCATTCTCGAGGGAATAGCAAGTTGCGTCTTGGCAAAGGCAGGTTGTTGCGAAATAGCTTTTGTGAAGTATTTCACTTTTTGAAGTTAGGATGGATTCCAATTGCAGCCAAAAAATTTGGATGAATGATATCTGACGGGCCAGGGGCTTTTTTGCACCTCTTCTTGACTTCTTCTGCGTCAATTCTGCTGCAGGTATGCAACGTCTAAGCCTTCAAGCGACTTCACCCCCCCTCCCAAGCACCCCTTTCCAACTTATGCTGAGCACAGTGGTGCATCCTCTATCACCAAATGCATGAATGGCCGGTACAAATTGGCCTCCTGCACCACGTGCTCCTGCACACCCAATTGTCCATTGCTTCCAGAATGACCGCATTCAAAACAGATCAACGCTGGATTCGTGTTGACGAGACAAGCCACACACTTGGCTATAGAATATGTACAGACGTAGAGGTCGACAACTGGGCAACCTGTCATTTTGGCCGTAGGGTCCGGCGACGACCACTGGCTCTGCTGCTGTTCCGCGGGGCTACGCAGCTGGGAAGAAATTCTGCGATGGTTGTTCTCCTGGTGAGTCGCTTTCCCTTCCCTGCTGCTGCAGATCCCAAGTTTTCAGAACTTTATCCTCGTGGGCGTCCGTCCACTGGCCCACAGCCCCTCGGGGCATTGGATTTGTAAGAGGTGTGAGGCTGTCCACCACTCAAAAAGCTGCCCGTCGAGAGGTGTATCGAACCGGACACGAATCGTCAGCGCGATCGTGATGGTGCTCCTGGTTTTTGTTTACCCTTGACCTGGGACACCCTCAGGCTACTTCAATGCAATGCATTGAAGCATACTTTGCTTCTTTTGGAGAGTCAACGGGGAGCTGGTGCCCTGCCGGTCTGCCGTCTCTTCCTGCCTAATAATTGATGATGGTGGCATCGCTGAGGGACCGCTATACCCGTCGCAGGGAGTTGCCGTATGTTGAGGTCAATGGCGCATTCGGCAGGTTAAGGACTGTGAATAGGCTTGGTTTCGACCTGCGTGCAGCAGCGCATCACCCCGATCCCAAATGCCGAGCCGCCGGGACTGCACTGACATGAGTCAAGAATGGTGGACTGCCTTGCGTCACTCAACTTGTTCGTCCGAGTGCTATGACTTCAGCGATGATGACCTTGAGGGCCAGCACCAGGTATTTCTTGTGGGCAATCCGCCAGCGTCGCAGAAGCTCACACCCGCCAAAGTGTTTGTTGTGCACCCTTTGCAATTGCTTAGAACCAGATGCAGACAAGTGGGATGAAAACTCCGATTTGGAAACTGCAGACAACTCCTTGCGAAGCCCCAGCTCAGATGATCTTGTCAGTGGCTTGCAGCAAAGCAGATTATAGCACATCTGGATGGACAGCAGAGGACACAGTAACTCTGATCAGCATGCGCAGTGTTGGGCGTTTTGCTTTGCATCAAACAGATACGCAGCTGATGGCATTGTGGAGGGTGAAGGGGCCTGTGATTCAATTGTTTCTTGTCCCCTTGACGAGTGAACACAAACAATTTTCACTGGTGTCAGTTCATGTGTTTGCCATTTCCACTGTCTGTGCCCATAAAGTGGCACAAGCAAGCCCTGTGCTGCACAAGTTACAGTGAACAAATGTGAAGGATCGAAATGGGTGCAGATGCTCCTTGATGACATTTGTCAAAACGTGGCAAATCAAACTTCCCTTTCACCTGTTGTTCGTTGTAAGGGCCACGCCTGCAGTCTCCAGGTGATTGAGACCAAAAAGGATGCAAATCGCCAAAGAAATTCACTGCCACCAGAATGTAGCAAACCATAAAATGGGACCCCTCTTGAGCAACAAAATGTGAAGAATGCCTGTTCCCACGCTGTGAAAATTGGCGGAGGAGTCTCTAAGGGCAATGGGAATAGCATTCACCAGAGAGTACCACAAACAACAAGGAATGTCCTCATTCCTGCGGTGCACTCCAGGTCATCCACATGCTCAACCAGGATGCCACAAGTGTGGTGGGATCCTGTGTCCAACAAGAGGGCAATCACCAATATGAGTGGAGCACACGGAGGAGGATGGTGAATAAACTGAGGAAGCCAGTGGTGGTTTTGCAAGATTCACCTGCTGGTTCGGCCACACGCGGCAGTGGCCATGCGCAGCGTTCGAGGAAAACATGTCATGACAGCAACCAGCAGAAGACATGCTGTCCTCAGTGCCAGCAATCGTGCAGGAGACTGGCACTACAGTGCCACAAACAGCAGAAACAGATCAGCTCCCAGGTGACATTCCTGCTTTCTGGTACCTGCACAGTGGGAGTTTAGAAGACCAGATGATCTGTTGCATCGCTTGGCCGCATGCATTCGAACTATGCAGGCAGCCACTTTTTTGTTGGTTGGCTCTGCAGGCACTGAGACTTGGGGGGCAGACAGCAGCAGTGAGGGCAATGGAGGAGGCCTTACAAAGCAAGGATGCTGCCCTGGCGATGCTGCAACAGGCCTTGGACGACAAGACTGTGGCACTTGCACGTATGCGTGCAGCGCAAAGGCTTAAACCAAGGCAGCGGACCAGAAGCATGACTGCAATGAAGAGTGCACTGGGTAAAGAGTCTGAACTTGCAACGAAAGTGAAGCTTCTGGAGAGCCAGGTACCCCGGCTCTGGGGACTCTGCACCAGCATGCTGTTGTTGTTCTCTGCAGAAAATCCATCCCAGTCATGTGCCATGGATCTCTGGTGTAGTTCTTCATTAGAAGCATTTATGGCATCATTAGCTTTCTCAAGTCTTCACAGCTGGTATCACATGAAGGGGTGCCTTCTTTGTGACGCCTCAATATACATGCCAATTTGTTGCACAACTGTCACACACGCAGCATTGTGCTGCTTGGCCATGTGATATCAAGGGGCCAGGGCATTTGCTGTTCTCTCACTTTCTTGATCTGGTACATAACGAGCTGCAGAGAGCTTAAGAATAATGCAAGGATGTAGCCTCCATAGACATCCTATGATGAGCATGCTATAGATGCCCACATCTCTTACAATGTCGTGGGTTTAGGCAGCGCAACCTGCACTCAACAGTAATCAGGGCTGCCTATTGTGGCAGTTACATTCCTCCATATGTGTGTCTCACCATAGTATATTCGACCCTTCCGCATCAAACAATTTTACCTTCAAGCTTGTTCCTATGCATTTTTTTGTTCAGAGCATTATATTTATATTTTGCGTGGCTCTGCAAAATTTGATTATGAAAGCGTTGTTTATTCTATTGCTTTCTCTGGAAAAAAGCCAAGTAACCCACTATGCGGAAAGGTTGAACATACTACAGTATGTGGAGCATGGTACTCTTTGGAGCATGCTGTGGCATGCCTTTAGTTTCCGCACCACTGTATCCCTCTCAGGTGCATCAATTGAAGATTGAGAAAACGCACAGTCAGGAACGGGCACACCAGCTTCTGGATATGCTGAAAAACCGCAAAGAAGGCAGTCCCTTGCGGGGCAGCAGTGGTGAGAAATGCAGCACTAGCTCAATTTCCAATCATGAGCCTGACAAAGATAAGTGTATCACCACAATACAACTTGGTGTTTGTGTTACGCAAGATGTAACAGCATGTAATACATGCCTCTGCAAACGCACCAAACATCACACACTGTACAATCCATGACAGACGCTCAAACTACCCCATTGGATAACAGGAATCATGTAGGCATAACCCCACAGACAAAATGATGGAAACTAGGCATCCAAAGGCCCAGGTGAAAGGGAATTCTGGCAGTGTGGCTGAGCCAAGAACCTAGCCATTCCGAGGTGTACGTGGGGCATACCATCGGCAAGATGTACTGCAGTGCTCAGTCCTTCTTGTGTTTCAGGCAAGGAGGCAGAGGCTGTGCACAACCGCCTGTCCAAGCTTCAGACATTCGTCCGTGAGGAGCGCAAACAAAGAATTGCCACAGAAAGGGAACTGCGGCAAGAACGGAAGCTGTCTGCTGCATTGCGTCAGCACATAAAAGACTCCACTATCAAGGGCAGCCAAGCTTTGGTCGTGGCTCGTTCCGCCTTAGCGTGCCACAGAGCAGGGGAAAGCAGAGTTGAAAATGTGCGGCCTACTGTATGCTGCTTTAGTACTTCAAACTGAGGGTTTAACAGAATGCCTGCAGTTGCCTCTAATGCTTTCTTCATGTCAGTGCTCTGGATACAATGCCAACAAGCAAGGAAAACCCTTGCTCCTTGCGGCTGACGAGAGGCAGGGTTTGCTCCAGATTTTCTGCGAATTTCCCTTGTGCCCCCATGATGGATGCTGGTTTGCTAACAGGCAGATACTCAGATACAGGCCTTGAAGGAGCAATGCAGCGCCCTCATGGAGGAAATCTGTGACATTCAGCGTCTGCAAGATCAACTTGTCCATGAGAACGTTCAGCTCAGGCGGCTAGCAACGGAAAAAGGCGAAGGCACACATGGCATGGTACTATAAGCTCCTTGCTTATCATATAAGTTGCTGCATGTGCGAGGGCCACAGTGCACAGGTTGCTCAAGTGCTGCTGATGTTTTGTTTACCACTACATTCGCTGGATGGGCGGAAGCTGTAACTCCTGTTTCAAGTTAGTTTAGCAGTTCTGCAATGATTTGCTGCAAACCTCTCTGCACCAGAACAGTCTGCACCTCTATGTTCCCTTCCAGACAAACCTTTTTCAACATCACAGCAACTGCCAATGGTATGGGGCTTTGTGTGACTACTTTCCTAGCAATAAGATACACAAGAGAAAGTGTGAGATCTGGATCTGAGCAGGCTGCAGCATATTCATGCTTCATCCATATACAGTACATTCTTTGGCAGATGTTCAGCTGCTGGTGAGTTCTGCAGTTCCAGTGATATCTGGACTGTTGAGCATCATGGCAATGTGCATCTTCAGGGACGCCACAAGAAGGCCGATCTTGGCGATGGAGCGATTGGCAGTCATGATGTTGTCAAAGCGCCCCAGCCCCTCAGCTCTGCATCAAGTGCAGAATGGATAAATGCTGCTCGCAAAGAATGGAGGTCCAGGGTGCAAAACCTGCATAACTCAGTGGGTGCTACACATGATGGTGAGGGGCTTGAGCAGTCTCCTGGCTTGTCCTGTGTCAACGTGTACAACATGCAGACCACACAGGAGCATGGAAGCCTTGAAGACTCTCCTTGCTCTCCTGATGGCCACACGAGAGCAGACAACAGAGAGAGGAGAAACAGTTCCTCGAAACACTGCCCAGTTGATTCATCGCGAGAGCCGGCCACGAGCATTGTGAGGCATACAATGAGCCCCGCAAGTGGAGCAGAGACAGCTGTGGTGCTGTGCAGTGACAGCTTGGCACACGAGGAGGTTGGGGAGTCCACACAGTTGGGCATGCGCGTGGAACATCTCATTAACCACCATCCAGAAGTTGGGTTATTCCCCTCACAGTCTTGGAGGCAAACTCACATCCCAGATTCGGAAGATGTAGAGCAATGCCAATTGGATGCTCTGCATACTCAGCAACCAGGGAAGGCGTGCCGGCAAAATGGAGCTCATGAGGACTGCTCCTACTCCACTTTGCCTGCTAATGTGCTGTGGAGGAAAGTTCCAACAGTATCACCAACTCAGCTGTCTCCAACTTTCTGGCCAAGGGTGGAAAGATCCCGATGGCGTGTGCAAATGCCTGTCCCAGAGGGAAGATATCAAGGAGGCGTGGAGAGTCCCAATGAAAGCAAGGCTGCTGATTTGTCTGCGGATACAGATGAGACAAGGTCATCGGGGTCTTGGCAGTGCGATGGCTTAGAAGCATTCAATCGTCTCGATGCAATTATCACAAAAGGCAGACAACATGCAAGGTAGGACATGTGCCAAGCAACGTCCAGCCAAATGTACACCTATTCTGTGCTCTGCGTTGTATTGACAGGGTATTTATGGCTATATGTGCGATAGTCTGTGCTGACGCATTCTGGCAGTTGTTTGTTCATGGCCACCAATGTGTGTTTTCGCTTTTGCATGCACCTTGCCAATTCCAATGTGTCCTAGACACACTGCAGGTGCTATGCAATTTCACCCACTTGTCTGTGTTCCCATAGCTGGATAACACCAATAACAGTTCAGTGCTCCCAGCAGCTGGCACCCAAAATAGAGGAGTGACATACATCCTGACACCTGCATCCAGAATTCCATCGTCTTGGACTGACAGGATATTGTGCACTGTTTCAGTTTGTCCATAGGAAAGTCTCCCGCCCAGTCACTGGTGGGGCCTGATGCCACACCAGGGAGATGCAAGAAACTGGCTGATCTTCACAGTCAATATGGAGCTCTCAAAAGCAAAACCACCTCGAGAGACTCCAGTTGATCGCATCTGTCTCAAGAAGGGATGTACTATGCTGCACTTATCGGTGGCCAAGCAACATCACATGCAGCTGTTCCTCAAGGAGATATCAATAGTTCACGTGGAATGATGCTCCAAGGGGGTGCTTTTGGATGCCAATTGCAACACGAGCTGTGGGGAGGTTTGCTACAGAACCAGCGATGATTAACCTTTGTCTTTGGCAAGAGCCTTTGCACCCCAGGGCTCATTCGTTTTCGAACTCCCTGCCTGCTAAGTTTTTGCTGCTAATCATTATCAGTTGTTGCAGAGGCCTCTCAATATCCCAGTAGGGATTATCAGCAGGCCCCACAAAGCGAAGAAGGTGCCTTGATCCCCCGCTTGGAAGTCTCTACTCAAATTGCTTGAAATCCGCTCATATATTCAGGTTGCGCTCCTCCCCATCTGCTAGTGAACATCTCACAAGGTAATTCACTGAGACAAAACGTGATGAAGCTGGCCAGTCGCAAGCAGCAGCTGGGACCTGGGAAACTGGCACCCTGATGCTCTTGTGTGGGTCGAGGATGTGATCGCATCAAACCTCTGGAGGTTTATTGATAATCTACTCTTTGCTGCAGAGGTAGCAGGTGAGGGTGCTATGGATTGTCAATGCAGTGTTTGTCAACCAATTCTGCTCGATGGGGTTGTGGGATTGTGATTCTTGTTAGAGTGACGCATGCATGTGGCCAAGCAACAGTGGCCAATGCCCAAGCAACGAGGGCCAATGCCTGACATGTGGGGGCACACACCCCATCTTGGCAATAAGCCTAGGAGGCTAAGCAGACACAGCAATGGTGTTTCACAGAGCATTAACCTCATTAATGACGTCCCCTCGGAAATACCGGGCTTTCAAGCAGGATTTACAGAGAGATTCTACAGCAACCCAATGCACTGTGCTTCAACATTTCAGTATGCATGCACCAGAAATGGGCATTCAGGCCGAACACATAACGTGTCGCTGTGATGGAGGCCACTGTATCGAGTTGGGTTCTTTGCATTTGTTTTGTGACGGTGTCACCACAGTGAAGCCTTCTGCTGACGTGTTTCAAGTAGCAAGGATTGGCTATGTCGAAATCCACATCTTCGGGGCACTGGAGTTATCCTGTCCACCAAAGCCATGGGGTCGTGTCCAGCAAATGCCACAGAAGTGCTGCTGGAGACGCTTCTCCTTACATCCCTGCCATCGTTGGCTCACGCAAGGAAAGCAGGTGTGTGGCAAGGCATGCCCACAAAGCAACAACAAGCAACACACGCTCCCACCAATGAAACGCAAGAGACGAAGAACCTACCACATATGGCTGTACTGTATAGTACACCTGCAGCGATTTGCACGGCGCGCCGATGATGTACATTTGGGCGCTCGCATCAACTCAGCGTCACGAAGGGGACAGGAAACGACTCGCTTCTGTGCACACTGTGCTTTGCGCTGTGCTGTCCTGTCCATGGCACAAAATTACTCCCTGCATCAAATCGGTGACTGCTTGCACGAAAACGGTGACTGCTTGCACCAAGTCACGTGCACATCATGTCCTACTCCGTCAAAACTAACCTAACCTAAAACGTAAACCCTAAACCCTAAACCTAAACCTGTCCTAACCCTAACCCTAACCCTAAAACTCACCCTGAACTAAACCTAACCCTAAAACTGAGGTTAGGACAAAGTGTGCACGTGACTTGGTGCAAGCAGTCACCGATTTGGTGCAGGCAGTAATATTATTTCCCCGTCCATCGTGTACTCCATCGCGCTGTGCGACTACTTTCCCTCCGCGCTGCATTTGCCCCTCCCCCCCTTCCTTTCCGAAGAAAAATGTGAAACTTGGGAACTGACTGCCCACACAGAAGAAGGCCGCCTCACAAGGGCACCGCCAACGGCGTCGTCTTCCTGCGACCGCCGGGGGCCGCGCCTCGGATCGCCATGGGGATCCTCTCCTGGCTGTCGAGCTTCCAGGCGCCCAAAAAAGACTTCTGCAGCGACGAGTTCCGGCCGGTGAGTGCCCGCTGCGCTTTGAGCAGCCTCCCGCCAGCGCCGGAGCGGCCAAACGCACAGGCGCAGTTGCTGGAGTGAACAACACCGACCCCTTGTGAGAACAGGGCTGCAGTTTTTGGACGTGTTGGAAGGCGTTCCAGCACTTGAGGGACGCACGAAGGCTTCCCATGGTGATGGTCCGCGCATTCCGATGAACAACGACAGGGGCAATATGGAGGCCGCGGTGGAGTGGGTCGCGACGCCCCTTGCGAAGGCATGCGTTCTTCAGGGCCGCCTCTGGGCGAGCATTGGGTTCTGGGTCGGTCATGCGGATTGATCGGCGCCCAACAGAGGCTTGATCAGCAGCCCTCAGTGGGCATGCTCGGACGGGCTTTGTTCTGTTGTTTGGCGGATGCATGGAGTGAGGGAGTTACCGTGGCATCGTTGGGTTTGAGTGCAGCCTCGTTGCCTGGCGTTGACGGATGCGTTCTGAAGCTGGCCGTGCCTTTATGTTTCTGCAGCTGTGGTCCTCGTTTGTGGATTGCTTTGTGGACAGCATACATGCGCGAATGATGCCGGCATCGCCTCCGTCAGAACAGGAGGTACGCGGAACATGGCAGTGGCCTTCACGAAAATGCGCTCGCTTTAGTCAGAGGGCACCAACCTTTGGTTGTTGGGACACCATTGGGTGGCTCAAGTGCCGTTCAAGGATCTTTGTTTCAATCAAGTTTCGACCATCGTTTCAATAGCAGTCGGACTGCAGACTGCTGCTCCTGAGTTTATGAATGGCTATGGTCGACTGCGAACATTGACGTTCTGCCTGCATGACTAAGATAATCGTCAAACTGCAAGATTTCCCACCATGGCGCCAGTGTTAGCATGTATGTGATGAGCAGCGATCTGCTCTTTCAAGTGGTCAGCCTTTCTCTGGTTCTTTTGCACATTAGGAGAGCTGTGTAGATGTTGCCTTTGGCCTCTGGATGACTAGATGCATTTGGACACAGTTGACAGCTTGCTGGAAATCATGTTTCTGTGGTGATCCATCAAAATGGTTGAGACTAAGGAACATCACAGGACAAGATGAATGCACAGAAACCATGAAAAGTGTTATGTGGTAAGCCAGGTCACAGAGCTGCCCTCCGTTCTGCCTGCTGCAAAGCGGTTAATTGCCATTGGTGATCTGCATGGCGATTTTGAAAAGACAAGGCAGGCGTTTCAGTTGGGAGGTCTTGCCGACAAAGATGATAACTGGATAGGTGGAGACACCATATGTGTGCAGGTGCGTCATGTCAGTGCCTAAAGGCTCTGAGCCTCACCAGCTTTTTTCTCTTGCTGTTTTACAAATCTGAAGCTTTGCGTGGCACTTCAGAGTCTGTATGTCCCTCTGGCCTCACCCCACCACACACACCCACTCACCCACCCCGTTTCCCCTGTCCTCTGGTCCTTATCAAAGAGATGTGGTCATTGTTGTCAATCAGAACGTATATATGAATGCTGTAAGGCAATGTTTCATTTCCCTTGAGAGCAACTTCCAAAGATGTCGTGACCTTGACTGTCCGCCCCTCAATGGGACCAGTGTTGTCCACCTGGGGGTAAAGAATGGAAGAAGAGGCCCATACTGTAATGCTTGGTTTTGCTGTGTCCCATCAATGAAGCATCTGACACCTGAAGGATAGACAGTGCTGTGCAACTTGATCACACATATCCGTTGCATTTCGATACAAAGTTGCAACCGTTTCTAAAAACATATGAATCGTCCTTAAGATGCAATTCGTGTTATATTCTGTGGTGTGCATTGAATGTCATTTCCTGTCACTTTGATGTTGGTTGCTACCTGCAGTGGCATTGTTGGATGCGATCTACGCATCTGAATGCTGTGTCTGTTTGTCCAAGGTTGGCTGCAGTCCCTTGATCGCTGAGAAATCATTGCACCATAGTGCATATACTGTGCCCTTGGCTTTCGGCTGGGTGACGCAATCACAGCCTTGATTCAGTGTTTGTTTGAAGCCTTGCCTTGTTTAAGCAGGTTGGCGACCAGCTAGATCGCGGCGACCATGAAGTTTCCATACTTTATTATTTGGAGCGGCTGCAAAGACAGGCAAGCAGGGCTGGTGGTGCTCTGCATGTCATGAATGGCAACCATGAGACGATGAACATGAATGGGAGATTCAAATACTGTACTGAAGGTACAACTTACATGGCAGCTGGATATGAACTTGGAGACAAACTTCTGTCCAGAGTTGACCAGAGTTTTGTACACAGTGCTGACAGGATGGCAATTCAAGGATGGATTTGTGCAGTATCGATGTGATGAATGCATCACTACCACACACACGATTTCGGTCGCTCTCTTTGATTTCACGGGATGTGCTCGTTCTTGTGCTATTGTTTCCAACCAACAACGGCTGGAAGAAATGGCCTTGTGTATCGATGTTTCTCACTGATATTAAAAAAGTTCCATGTTATTAGTACCAAGTGTTCTCAAGCACACCATTGGCAACTGCGTATTGTATCGTACTTCAAGATAGGCCTCTGTTGCACACTTGCACTCTTGTTTGTGGTTTAGTTGGATTTCAAAAGACAGTGGATTGGCTATTGTCTCATAATTTTGAGAGCCCAGCCCTGAAGACCGGATATGGATCTGGAGAATCAACACAAGTGAGCCCAACCCTGGGGTTCCAATCGCATTCAGTGGTGCCCCAAATGTGACTTTGTGGACTGTACCTTCAAACTGCGTCTCTACTTTCCCAACTGTGAGTTTGCTGGGCATGCATCATTCCTGTTGTATGTGCTTTAAGCACCAAAAGCACTGGAATTGATGGCCGTGTCTTACTAGCACAGGACGATCGCTGTGAGGATGGTGCCACGCGTTTTCAGGGCACCAAGCTTGGGACAATATGCCCCTCGACTTGATGGGTGGCAGAGCACGTGCCACATTTAGTGTCGCATTGCCTGACATCGCCTCCAAGGTGCAAGGGCCTGTTTTGCCCTCCATAGGCAAATTTTGTTCACGGAAATGCCGATTCAAAGACCTCACAGGGGCCTTCCTGGGATGGTGGCCCAGGGGCGCTGATGTCCTTTTTGCGTTGGAACGTCGTACAATCCATCGGATTGAGCATGAAGAGTAAATGTGGCTGTGACCCTGGGCACTCTGCTGTCGGAAATCCTGAAGGCTTCCCGATTGAGTATCTTCCTGCCATGGCTTCTGCAGCTCGATGGGCGGCAATCAGACCAGGTGAGCATAGCCACATGCCACAGGCTATCTGCCCACATGCAGATTTTGTATTGCAGTTGGGAACAGAAACATTTCAGGAACAAGCACTTGTGGATGCAAGCATTGTGCAACTCCCAACGAGGCCCACGATGAACATCTCATCCCTGCCTGTGGCTCTCTCTCTGTGCATTTCGTCTCCAGGGAATGCTGCTTGTGTGACTGCAATGAGTGGCATGGAATCTTGACTCCACTGCCGCCATGCACTTTCGTTGTTCAATGAGGCAGATGTGCAACCAAGCTAGCATTCCCTGACAGTGCAGATTGGGCTTCACAGTTGCGTTTTCTGCAGGCCTCATGCTTCGATGTTCACTGCACTCAACTGTCAGATTACACTGTACTTGCAGCTGCCACCATCTGTGACAAGTGCTCCAGGACCCATCCTGTTGGTCAGCAGCAGATCTCATGATTTGACTGACGACCAGGTGCCAGGCGCCCCTGCAGGGAATAGTCAGATGCTAAGGACATCAGCAAATTGTCAGCTGTTAAGTATTGTTTTCTTGTCAGATGCGCAGATTGCAACTAGTGATCATTGATTGAGTTATGCTGGTGCTTTGTGCTGCAGGTGGTCCAATGGCAAAGAGATTCTTTGCTCGCCACCCCACAGTCCTACAAGTAGGGTCAACCCTATTTGTGCATGGAGGATTGCTGCCAGATCATGTGCAGTATGGAGTTAACAAAATTAACAAGTAAGTGGTGTGGTTTTGCCTTGGAAGTGAGAATTGGGACCACACATATGCATCTCACTTGTGGCAGCATGGCCTTTGTGGTGCATGAAGCTTTAACAGTCATACATCTGCTATTGAAAAATGTAAAGGAAATAGGACAGCACCACTTCATCCCAGATTTATTATCCTCTACAACTGAGGCATATCACTTTGTCATCACAGAAACTTTGGTTGCAGCCATACTTAATTCAGAGCTGTGGTCTCGAGTTTAAAGTAGAGAGGTCACAAATCAAGGCAATACATTGAGTATTGTGGATTTTGCACCAGTTTGTAGTAAATACATTCAGGGCAGAAGAACTCCAATTTTCAGCCTGGTTGTGAAAATGGTTGTTTCGTGATTGAGCACACCTTCATGGTGGCAAAATGGAGCCACCTGTGTAAAGATATCCACCCTGGCAGCAACACCTTCGCTATGCCACACAAAGAACAGGCACAGCTCAGATCCACAGGGATCGCTAGTGGATGTTGACGTGAATGAACTTTCTGTGACCAAAGCAAGAGCAGTTTGGGGTGCTGCTCAGAAGAAGTGAGGCTGTTTATGACCAAGACTGGTGGTTGGGGTTTTTGAAACCCAGCCTTTCCTATTCTGACCTTCTCTTGCAATTCCAAGGCTGTTTTAACAACAATACTTCTCTTTCAAGTGAAGAATAATTATTGTGGATAACTGAAAATATGGTTCTGGCAATTTGTACTCCGGGCATGGAGCCGGCTGGCCAAGTTATGGCTTAGGCAAATGGTGTTTGTAGCAAGAGGCAATCAAAGCACTCACATTAGCACAAACTTGACTATTCAAGCTGCGTGATGGCCGAACGAGACATCGACAAGGAAGTTGCTCATGTTCATTGGGCTTCATGCTGCACATCACATAGGGAGTCGCAGATGTGGATGCTGGGCAACTCGCAAATAAGGAACATCCCGCGGGTGCTTGCGGGGAAGAATGCAGTTGTGTGGACAAGGGAGTACTCCTGGGAGGAGCCCAAGGACTGCAATTGCGAAAAGCTGAAAGCTGTCCTGGATGCTGTGCCGGGGGCTGACAGGATGGTGGTGGGCCACACCATCCAGGATGCTGGCATCAACAGTGCCTGTAACGGGATGGTGAGGTGTTGCCTTTGTGAATCCATGTGTCACTTTGTTTTTAACTTCTGTCTGAAAAGTGCCAAAGTGCTTCCCATGTATCCCCATCACGATGCTGTGCAGGCCTGGTGTCTGCCTTTCCGTCAAGTGGCCATGTCCTGGACAAACTGTGGGCGGCAAATTGGTCTCTTGTCAAAAGCAGTTGTCGCTCGTTTCCATGTTCAGGATGTAGAGGCTGACACAATGCTGCAGCCAGCTGAACACAGCAGTAGGCGAAGAAGCCAGCATGTACTGTGAAGTGGAGAGGTTTGCATGAGCAGGTGGGAGGAACAAAACCCAAATGTCCTGTTCCTCCCCCCAATCTAGCCCTCCTGTCCCATTTGACGACTGAGTGCACTAGCCAGCCACATCCAATGGCAGCGGTAGTGAACTTACTTCCAGAGTCCATTGTTCTTGCATTAGCGTTTGTGGCTCAACTCAGATTAGGCACCTAGCTGAGTTTTGCCACAATCGTGCAACGAGTTCCCATAACCGAACTAGGATGGGTCGCAAGCTGCTGGCAAAGTGCAGCAAACACTGTGGCATATTGCAAAGCCACCAAAAGCAGGCAATGCTCCCTTTACTGAGGAGAGCATCTTCCAGCTTTGCAATGGTTGCGGAGTCCAGGGCACTGTGTGCACCATATCTGTGTGCTCCCCACGTGTTGAGCAGACATGATGTGGGCTATTAATATGCAGTGATTGCCACCGTTGGATCCTCCTCTTTAAGTCTTTGCTGCACTGTTTAACATGAGAATCTGAAGATTGGCGATTGGGATTGGGATGCAATCAATTGGATAAAGGCTCCCACAGCATGTGTAAGTATCCAAAAGTTGCCTAGGGGTATGACAAGTCTGGGTCTCTGTGCACGCGGTGCTGCTGTACTGGTAGAGATGCTGGTCAAACATGCGCGTGTTGCTTTGCTGGGGTGTATGGCTGATAGCAGCGCAATTCTTGCATTGCCGACCGATGAGCGACGGTCGTCCATCTTGGCTGTGGCCGTGCCACAAAAGCGGCATTCCTTGGTCTGATGCATCATTCCGTTCCAACAAGCTGGCAGATGGCAGGCTCCCATGGAAGTCGTGAAGTTGCCTATTGTGCATGTGCACAGGTCTATCGCATTGACGTTGGGATGTCAAAGGGCTGTGGAGACCATGACGTCCAGGTTTTGGAGATCTTGGAGGACAAAGAAATTCGCCGCCTGGGGTGGGATGCCAACGGAAAGCCCAAGGTGATTGGCCACGAAGATGCATGGACACTCAACACATTTTTTGGAGCCGTGCGCAGCGCGGTGGGGTCAGCAAAGCCCGCATAGCGGCGGGGTTGGTGCAAGTTGGACGCGGCACATGCGCATCCAACGCCAGGGATGCTGCACGTAATCGAGTTGCCAATCCTTTAATTCTGTTCGTCGAAAAGCGACAAGGCACCGCCTTTTGGAGCCGCAGTGCAATGACGGGATTCCTCCAGGGGAATTTCAGGCGGCGTCTGCGAAATCACACTGCACGGGAGCCGCATGGACGATGCAGTTTGCCTGTGTTGAGCCTTTGCAACGAATGGCTGGTTGGACTGTGAGGAACCAGACCGCGTGCCCGTCTGATCGATGACAGAAATCCTTTTGCTTCTTGAGAACTCATTGCTGTGCACAAGGGCCGCGGGTTGGGGGCAGTGACTGAGTTGTCTACGATGACCGCCGAGTTGGTTTGGCGTGCTGGGAGCCGTTGTGCAATCTGGTTGAGTGGGATTGTTTTGTTGGCCGTTGCTGCGGCGGCCAATTCAGGGTGTTCAGCAAACCTATTCTTTTTACAGAGTGTACATTAGTGCAGGAGTGCCCAATCCCTTACACATTGGTTTCCTGGGTAGAGGATGAGTTGGCATGCACGATGGTGACTGAGCGGTGATGCTGACCACATGGCGTGCGTGGATAAATGGAGAAACGAGGACGGGCTTCATTTGTACCAGTGCATTCTCAACGATATACGGCTGGTGCAATTGGCAGCGCTCTGTAAGGGTTTTGATCAGTTTGAATAAGAATAGGCCTGGCGTGCTCAGCTCTGCCTTCGCGAAGGCATCTCGCAAAGGCAGAGACAGTAACCTTGGTTGACAGCTGCATGTTGCAGGCTTGGGCATCATTTGAGCACTGCTACCAGTGCCAAGGCCCTGATCGCGACTCAACTCCAACCCTCAGCAGGCTCGGTTGTCTGCCAAGGGGAGTCAGCGCTCAGCCAAAGGTGAGGGACCGACGGGACTTGCACATTCGCTCTGCACAGGACAGCTGCTGGCCCATCATGGCAGTGCCTCTGCTGCGCTCCGCTGCTCGCATGAAATGTACATGCAAAGGTTGCCAGAGGGCCCAAGCGGAGCTGCATAGGAACGACGCCAGCAGTTCATGCCACGCCCCCACGCCGCGCTGCTGAAGCCATGCACTGAAATCAAGGCTGCTACCGAGGGGGCATCGGCGTCACCGAAACAATCCCGGCATCGGCCTGACCGCCATGAACATGTCCACCACATCCTCAGTGACCTTCGAGCGTGCGGCCTGGTGTCGAGCGACCAGGTCTTGGAGGAGCTGAATTAGCTCGGCTTTCACCTCCCCTGCGCATGCAGCAGCCCCAGGGGCAATCCCCTTGACAAGTTTTCCAAACAGTAGGACACACAGCCGTTGCGCCCGCGAGGCGACGACGGCGAAGAGGCCAATGCCATCGCGAGCCAGGTCTCGCTAAAGTCGCATCCCAGCTGTTCTCCCCAATGTCATGCCGGCGTTGAATGAAGGCCGACAAGACAACAGATTGTTCCCGCCCTGGCCCCTGCTACAGGCTGCACCCATGGCAAAGTGATACCGATTGTGAAAGTGTGAATCAATCAACGTCGACGACATCGTCTGAGAGAAGCTGACTACCAGAGACCAGCCTGCACAAAACAGCGCCGAAACTCGACACCATGCCTTGTGGAGTCGCAATCTGCCAGGCACCTCGACCTTAAAGCCGCTGCTCCTGGACGAGCACATTCGCGTGGTCGCGCTGAAACGCAGGACGCTTCCGACAGAGCTCAAACAAAACGGGAAATGGTGGATGTTCGCCCACGTCCAAACATCCGTGCCACACTGTCACTGCTGAGGATCGGGCCCAACAAAAGAAAACTGCGATCAAACGATCTGGTCCCCTTGATACATGGCAAGTGACGGATCCGTGACCTTCACCAATTTAATGCGGTGTGAACGCGGACTGCAATCGCCAGGGACTCAAATCACAAGACGTGGCACTGGGGTGGTTGTCGTTGATTCGACTCGCTATCGAGCGGCCCACATCCAGCCTAACGGAGTGCATTGCCCGGTAGCTTCCAACAATTGATTATGTCGTCCTTTGTCAATAATTTACTGTGCCGTGATTTGTCATACTTTGACACATGCCATCGACGAGGATTTACGCACAGCGAAGCCAGCCACGTGCGCAGAACGGCGTTGGGGGCGGCCGCACCTGAGAGCATCCTCCCGGAACCATACTCTTGCCTGATCGTCTCCAACTTTTCGTCGTCATCCAAGAAGAAGGACAGATACTTGAAGGGTATGTCGACATCCAAATCCGCCCCCTTCAAGCGATGCTCCTCAACTGTCGCACGGCCTCCAGAGTACGCGTACTTGCTTATCTTGAGACACAAGATCAAACAGCAAATCGTGGCTCAGCAGCCCATAACAGCTCCCCTCCGCTTTCCTCGCCCAGTTACCCCGCGAAACCTTGCTGCGGGGCGACAACTTCAAAAACACATGCACACGGCATTTCGCCCTGTTCCAGGCTCCAATGCTGAAGCGCTCTTTGCGTGGACACTTGCAAGAGCGACCCCCCGAACAAAGACACATTTGCACATGCGTGCCTGCCAACAGGCTGTCGGCCCGCAAATGGTAACGTCCGTTGGTGTGTCCCATTGTTTGCCACAAAACGTGGTTTCAAGCGGCCACACACCACACACACAGTCGAGCAGCCCGCTTTGCGACGGAGGAAGATAGCCAAAGCTTGCGCGGTCTGGGAATGGGACCCTCATCTCACCTTTGATTTGATCTCCTTTGGCGAATCCCCTGTGTAAATGGCAGTGGTGGTGTCGCTGGCGCTCATTTTGCCACTGATGCCTTGGAGGGCTGGGAAAAAGCGGGATTCGATCAGTGCAGGCTTGTGATGGCCGATGCGTGGGGCAACGTCACGTGTCATCCGAAAGTACGGATCCTGAAAGAGAATGAACATGTTTAAGCGACGCCAGATGGCTCCATGAAGGCCGCTCTAATTGGACCCTCGAGTTGCGGCGGGGACAACTCCACATTTTCCTGGCACCATTACGTCTTGAACATTGCTTCAGGGACACTGCCAACAAATGCGTTGTCTACTAGATAGGCGCAGGTGGCGCAGCAGGCGTCCCTCTCCCAAACAAAATTTTGACGTACGTCTCAACGGCGTAGAGAAATCCACAAGTCTCCAGGTGCGTCAGGGCATTCGTGCATTTAAGAACACAACCACCCAGCATAGGATTAAGAGACGAAATAGGATAGCACCAGTTAGGTGTCTTGCCTTCAGCCATGCTCCCTTTGCCTATGTTGTGGCAAAGTCGCGGATCACGCAACGATGCACAAGCAGAATCGAAATTCGTTCGCAAAGACAGCGAGCACCAGGATTAAAAGAAGGCAAATGCGTATTCCTAATACATAACAGACGCCGCGTTCCACACGTTTGCAGACAATGGGCTCCTTATGTCCCGGAACGTTAAATCGCATTCAAGCGTCCAGCTGGTGCAACATTCTGGAATACACGAGGCGCGCTAACAATGGATCGCCACGCAGAACTAAGGTACCTGGTCAATGGCGCAAGGAATGAGACACCGTATGTCCTTCCGCGTGCCAAACATGTGAGGGAAGGAGTCGGGAAAAGACGGCGCTGCCTGGATGGCAGGGAACGATATCTTGCCGATGTTGTCCTCACCAGTGAATCCGAAGATGCCTTTCACCTGGTTGAGTGTTACGCATCTGTCCGTGCACAGCAGGACAGCCCAAATTCATTCCACGCATTCGGAAAACACTGCCTGCAGCGATGGAGAACGGCAAACAAACAGTTGTGCAGGGAAGCGCCCGTGCGGCAGATTGTGCATAACATTGCCTCACGAGGTGCCGTCAGTGTTCTTCGAGAATTAGGCGGCACACCGACACAGAAGCCTCTCAGCGTTCACATGCTAATGCCACGACCAACAGACACTGCCAATGGTCAAGGATTGGCCACAGTTCAAAGCTGGCATCAATGATATGTAAGCAGAACCTAATTGAGCGCAACCGCAGGGACAAAAAGCATCCGTTCACAGACATGTGAACCCTGCGATTATGGATGCGAACCCGATGGTGGTTTCCATCTTGTCTTCAACAATTCTGAGGCCTTGCTGCCTGGGCAGATGGTTGTCACATGCTCAGGGCAGTTTGCAACCGTGCAGAACATGCATTTTGGGGTTGCTGCTTCCGAGACCTCACCTCTGGATCCTGCTGGCATTCCGGTAGAACGCTCCTCCAACATAGTCATAGTCGCTGAAAATGAACGTCCTTGCTATGTCGAAACCGCATGCAATAATGTCCTTGGCATTCTGCATCGCAAATGTAAAGCAGAAAGAAAGGAGGCAATTTTCAACACCCCTGCCATTTACATGTTGCAAATTCTGTAGCTGTCAATAAATGTGGTACGAACAAGAAGATCAACTGTAAAATCTTCCCAACAGCACAATACAGCAATGAACTTTTGAACCGCGACTGTGACTTCGGCCCATGATTGATCACTGCAAACAAGCACTTCGAGTGCTCACGTTCTCTGGTGACTGTTTATCATCGTCTCCAGCATGAACAAGAGCAGCAATTCCCACGATCTCAACCACAGGCAAAACGTCCCTGTCCCCACTGAATGACACGTTCATGTATGGAGTGTAAGTGGCATCATTCAGTGGTTCGGACCAATTGGTAGGTAGCAAGGGTCCAAATCGAGCTGACAAGCCTGTGGCCAAGCAGAGTAAAAGGCGTCCAAACTACTTTTCCACACCGGTAGGTGGTTTCCAAACAACAAAAAAATGCTTGCCCGTGCTTGTCATGCATGTCTGGTCTTTACCAATCAGCACAATGGCATTCATTCTTATGCATTCCAACCCAAACCCTTCGATTTCATGCTGTTCATTGCGACACCAGAGTCATGCATTAATTCGATTTCCTGCAGCATGATTGGACAATCCACCCCAAGCATGGCAATGTACAGGAAACCGAGCACAGCCGGGAGCCTGGCAACACCACAATACCCAATCAAGATTAAGATAACAGCGGACAAATTTCAGTGGTGGCATACTTTGAAACAGCACGACAAATCAATGTGAGACGCAACAACAACCCTAGACCAGTCGTTCTTCTCAGAATTCTATAAGCATAGAAGTAGTACACACCATACCTAAACACAACAAAATCAATGTGTAAATCCTTGCCCTTCCATCTATTGGGTGACGTGGGGTACAGACCACAGCTGACCCTACGACCACTGCTGGTTGGCATGCTCGCCCACCTCTCGTGCCAGCCTGCGCGCCTCATCCACGTCCAGGTTTTTCCAGAGGGACTTCTCGTCATCCGTGAGCTGAATGACAAGGGGGGCCTTGAAGGCATCCTGCAGGTACTTGGTGAACATGAAGGGAACAAGGTGGCCCAGGTGCAGAGCTTCAGATGAGGGACCCTGCAACAAACAATAAAAACATTGTCGCCCACTTGCATGTATCCCATCGTAACTCTGAATATGGCCTCAGGACCCCAGTATTTCAGAAACCCTTGACGTCACAGTCACATTCAGAAGCACCCATGTGGGTTTCTGGTGGTTACTGCTCATGCTCAGGTGGGCCCCACAGAGAGCACTGTGGGGAAGATGTGCTGCCAAGCAGAGACCACTTGCAGGTCACCAACTACGAGGGCCACCCTTTCTCAATAAACCTACTTACTCTGCCAGTGTAAAGATAAAAAGGCAACCCCTTCTCGTAGCAATCCAGGATGATGTTCAGCTCCCTGTGCGCAAATATGATTCCCCGCCTCAGAAAAGGGTGCACTGGCATGCCAGTCAACCTTTCAATCCTGCCAACACACCAAACACCATTTCGGTAAAGTCAAACAAGGACAAAGAATCAGCAGCATGCAACATGAATATGCAGACATGGAGGAGTACAGAATGTTGCAGTGAGAGGAAGTGCTGAATTTTATAGTTAACAGAGACAACCACGCTCACAACTTGTCAAGCCCTCTTTATGCACTTATGCCTTGCTTGTGCTTGCGGGAACTCACTTAAGTCTTCTTTGTTAATCTCTTTCTTTCTGAGGGCGATGACATTCAGGGAGATGACTCGATTCCGTCACTATGCTTGTTGTGAATGCTCGTTCAATTATTCTTGCTCAGAAATCCGACTGTAAGTGTTGACAAATATTGGCCTGGAGCCAGACACACACCCCTGCAAGATCGATTGAATGCACCAAAGCTGAAGGAGGTCTTCGTCTGCCACCACCTCCTTGCCTAACTGTCCTATTTTAAACAATTGTTGACATGCACTGCACAACCCGTGCAGCCAGTACTGAAACCCCTCCTTCAGGAATTGAGAATTGAGATTCTTTTTCGCACTGTGAAAGATATTGCGCCGAGTGGTCATATGGTGACATTGATTCACTATTGTGCAAAAAGCACACACACTCCTGTGGACAGCAACATGATCGAGCCCAGGCTTGTGCTATCTTACCTTTCTACCATTTCTGGAGGTATCAAGGAGCATCCAAACTACAAAAAAAGCAGCCACAACACCACCAGGCTCGATCAGAAATGCACGAGAGCAAGCTGCAGACATGCCAATTCTTGAGACTCCATTCGCCAATCAGAGATGACCATAAAGCCCTTGCACCTTGCATGTGATGGCGGACACAGAAACATCCAAGCACTGGTTGATCAGCTTCACAGAACAGAGATATGCAGACCCCCCGGTTGCATAGGAAACAAAGACAGCATGTACTGCATGCACAGCAAGTACTGCAAGTACTGGGCAGCATGTACCGCATGTATTGTGCACAAGTGAAAAGGGCAAGCGCTGCTTGCTTGGCTGAATGGCCTTTGAATTGGCAGACTGGGAAACGTTCCCAGCTTTGTGGGGAGATCACCTTGTCAACAAGCTTATTGTAGTCCACATCGCCAGACACCGTCCAAGGAGTCACCACTGGCTGTTCCCAACACAAAAATCTCAATCTCACAAACACATAGATAACTGCAAGCCTCTGGTTCGGATTCAGAAGCCATTCACTCAACGGCGTCCATGGCCTGTTGGACAAAGGAGGGCACTTTGGCTGAACGCGACGCGTTCAAGGTCGTGCAGTGTAGCAGGACAAGTAGCACGGGCTTTCCGCACTGGCCAACAGCAAATCCAATCAGTTCTGTGGTCCCATCAGGCGCTGAACACATCGTGCGCCGACATGGCCTTTCGCGCTGTGTTGGGCAGCGCATTGGCCCGAGATGGTGCACCAATCAAATCGGCATCTACAGGGTCAATCCCAGTTTTTGCACGCCCCTTCTCGTGCATCCAAAGGCTTTCCGCGTCACAAGTAACAAATTCTAGAACGCCTTTTCTGCTGGACGCGCGTCCATCTGTTGTGCAACAGGTCTCTTCTTTCTGCAAGGAAGCCTTGGCACGCTCCAAGCGATGGGGCGCTCCGCGTGTCGCCATTATCACACCTCACTGTCCTCTCCAGCATCGCCGCTTTGGGGTGGATCCGCCGACGGGGCTTCTGCGCTCGCCGCCATGTTGCGCTCCTGCCTCTCCACTCCGCCAGTCGGGGAAACCGTGGGCAGCGAAGCCGACACTGGCCTGCAGGTACCAAGTTGCTCACAGATGCGCTAACTACTGCGCACTGGTGCAGAGGCTCCCTAGTTTAGTGCCAAGTGCAAGCACCGTTTCAAAATCACATACCCAGCTTCATCGCAGGGTGCAGGAGACCTGCTGTTGAACTTGGGCACAGGTTGCTGCGTCTGAGAGGGACGAGAGCAAAAAGGGAGTTGGTGACGTCGCGGTGGTCTTCTGGCAGCGTGGGTGCCCAACCACGGGCAGCAAGAACAGCCCATGTATGGAGTGTCCTGTATGCATCCTCGTCAAGCAGTGTACGTACCAGGTTTGAGAGGCCTCGCAACTGGCTCAAAAGATCGCCACATGGAAGTTGGTCGCACTCTTGAAGCATCCTGAATAAAAGACCGATGCAGTTGTCCGCTCCTAGGCCTTAAAATACGTCGGTGCATTTCTGTAGAACTTGCACATCATAGCCATTGCATAAAGAACGGACCAGACAACCCCAGCCCCACACCCACCCGCTTTATTGTGTAGCTGTCCCACTTAATAGCATACATAAGACGCGCTCATGATAGCCAGTGGTGGTGTCCACTGGTGTGCAACAAATATCGATGCAAGCAAAATCTGTTGTCATGCATCAGGGACTCCCTCTTAGGCACAATGGTCTGCAAGAGATTTAACCATGCAGTGGAAGATGTCGTCATTTTGTCCAAGTGCAAGTGTGCTGTGAGTGTGGTCACCACGAATGTGTCCATTCGTTAGCAGGGCCGCGTGGGGCGGCCGGGATGTGTGTGCACGAAGCGCTTGGCCACAGAAAGTGCATGTGATCCGTCGCTTGGACGCGAAAGGCGCGTCCCGACGACTGTACGCAACACTGCAAGTAATGCAACAAGAATGCACTGAAGGGAGGGTTCGATCAAGCTGCTGTGCGGCTCACTGCTGAATTTTTAGGTGCCAGCAACTGCCGGGAAGGAATATCGCCATAATTTCCTGGAATCATCGTTGGAGATTGCATTCGATAGAATTCATCCCAGTGCAACTACAGCAGCCTCCTCGCAGTATCTCATTCCAAAGTGCCATTGTTCCATCTGCGGCACTGTGACTTTTGCCATCTTGGGGATCAAATTGGAGAACTGTACAACCAAGGAATGTCAGGGGTATTGCTGACCTTGCACTCAGGTGGCATCCAATCTTGCCTTCATTGCCGAAGCAAAAGAACAGAAGGAAACCAGCATGCAGTTCAGCCATGTTCAGCAACCCAAGCATTCCTTCCTGCCATTCCGTTTGGCTTGCCAACAGCGTAACCTGCAATACTGCGGTCGACACTGCTGTCCACCGATTCTTCCCCATCGTTGTTTGAAGGGACTGTGGGACGGGGCGGCGTCCTTCAAACTCTTGGTTTGCTGTTGTCATGTACACTGCCTTTCGCCTGTAGCACGACCTTCCATGGACATCTGGTTGCTTGGCTATGCTGTGTGCTGGTGACTTTTGAGCAACAGGGAAGTGTCGGAGGGGGGCGCCTATTCCGTGGGCCACATTCTCAAGGGGGAGATATAAATTTGACGTGACGATTTTCCTTCTCGCAACTAGCACATATCGCAGACATTTTGAGACTTGCTGGCGACGAAAGACCCAGGCATTCAGAGCCTTTTCAGGATTGGGAACGCTGATTGATGCCGGGCCGCAATGCATGGGGATAGCGACCCTAATTTCAAAGAAAGCTGCATCTGCTGTGTGCCCCTCAGCAGAGACACCACATTGCTGGCATGTCGGCAAAAGGCGGGACCCAGCCGGGCTCCCCATCCGCAGGCACGGAAATCATGAAGGCAGGAAGGCCACGCAACCCTTAATCAATCTTCGGATGTAAATTACATTTCGGCACGAAAGCAATGCCCAAAAGACTTGGCAGCCTCGCGGCACGGTGCCTCCCACGTGGGCCACCGCTCTCGCAAAAATGAGCGACCGAACGACGCCAACAACGTGCACCTTTATTTCCGGACGCTTGTTCCCACGTGCGAGGCACGCCCGTCCCAGCACCTTGGAGACCGCCGAGCGCCCCGACACTGAACGTGCTTCTCCGCCACCCGCCGCCCTCTTCATCCACACAGCCCCCGAATTCGCTTCCCGGTGCGAAACCCGCCACGGCCTCTCACCCACTCGACCTCCCCTCCGTCTGCAGTCGCGCTGCCCAAGTCTCCCGTGCAGTCTACCCCGAAGAAGAGAGCCTGCCATGGAGAGGGCGTACGCCGGGCCGTCTCCCGGACAGCAGCCCTCGCTATACCGGAGATTTTACAAGTCCATGACAAAACATGATATAGAATGAAACAAGTAGGGCGCGGCAGAGGCCCATGCCCAGGATGAAGTCCCCTGCCACACATTATGCGTTCCTCGCCTGGCGCCATGCCCGTTCCCCGGCCATTCTCGAGGGCGTGGCTCGAGAGGCCGAGTCACATGGCGGCTGCGCCAGGCGTGGCGACAATTCTTCGTCACAAACAGCACCACACCTTCCTTGCATTCCGAAGGACAATTCTTTTCGGTTGCAGATACCAATCAATGCCAAAAATAGAACAGGTGCCTGCATCGCTGCAACACCGGCCGCAAGATTTCGTGCTGGGCCATCTGCCCGCCCCTTATGCGCAGAACCTTTATGTACACAAGCCTTGATTCCGTTATGACCGTGATGCACGCAGACGGCCAATCACGCCGTCCCTTATTTTCCCTCCTTACTCCCTGAGGCGGGCCCTGGCCCAGTGCGACAAATGCCACGAACGGTGCCCGTTCCCTGGGCCTTTGCCCACAGGACCTCAGATCACCCCAGGAACATAAGAAAATGAAGAACAGGAGGTCCTCAATATGTTGTAATTCGTCAGTTTCCCGCAGACAAGCTCTGCTGTCATGCCAAGCCCCCAGTGAATTCGGACCGTCACCCTGTAGAAACCCACTTTAATCTAAGTGTCACTAAACCACACAGTTTGCGTTCTCAAAGAATTGTGTTCCTAGGTCGTTTTCCGCTCGCACGGGTCATACTTCACACACGCCCAGATATACTTGAGAGCCAGTATATCAGTGTTGAAAATGGACAGTCACACCCACACCTGTAAAACCAGGCGCCCCAAACTGCACGCGCACTGTGTGCTGTTGATTCTGAAGAACCCATATCCCCGACACAACTTCCAAGGCTCTAACTCCAAGAAACACGTGTGGACGTGCTGGACTGTGCAGCACCTTGACGCTGCCATCCAAGCATCTTCCTTGTGCATCAGCATCGTAATTAACAAACGTAGTGCCTCTCCATTTGGGGCCGGCAGACACTGATAAAATCTACATATGACAGACATGGACGGGGCCGCCTGGGCGTCATCAAGTCCCCACATGCAACGGCTCAAACATTTCCCCAGCACTGTTGTTGGAGTCGCCCTCTTCAATGGCGAGCCCAAGCAGGCACTGGCCCAAGGGGCCCTTCTTTGAGGGGTTGCCGAAAGTGTCGTCGGCATAAAATTGGGCAGAGTCCATAATCTTCCAGTTCTCCCCAGCCAGGTCGTTCTGCCTTGGGCTGTTGCTCATGCAGGGATCCATTCCCACAAAGTTGTAATTCCATGGAGAGGAACATATGTCCCAGGCCTCGGAAGATGTTTTGGACAGTTCCCCCGACACCTCCTTTGCCACTGGGATGCTGCCCGCAGTGACTGGAGATGACGGAGGGGTCGGCGATTTTGAGGGCGTCGAAGACCCTGACGACACGTCAGTCTGCAGTACCTCAGGGTACTCCACCAGACCGTCAACATCTGCGTAGTACGAGTAACCGTGCTTCGAGCCAGACAATAGTCGCCGCCCCTTCACCACAGTCTTCCGCACAAGATTCCTGACACCGCTCACAACCAACCTCGTGATGCTGTCCCCTGTGTCCGAAAAATCGTAGCTATTCTGTGGCAAGATGTCGACTGTCAGGATGGTGGTGTCGTCAGATAGGCGGCCAGCGATGGACGTCGCCAGGCTGAGGAGCCGCTTTGGGGCCTGCCTGAGCATCGACGCCCTGGAGTACTTGCATGCCTTGACACCGGAGAGGTGATCCCACAGGCCATCAGATGCCAGGATGAGACGCACGCCAGATCTCGGAAGCACGACCTGCACCAAGCCACATTGGCTTCAGTAAGCGCAAGCATGGATCGCAACAATCTGGATGCACAACACTCAGGGCCAAATACCAACAGGTGGCTCCATGCTGAGCATGACCGCTCACGAAGGTTTTGCTTTTATTGGGAGGAGTAGCAGGCCATGCAGCAGTACTCATGCTATCAAGACAATACTACTTGACGTCCCCTGTAAGGCCTGCAATAGCATGCACACAGCCTGCGATGCAGAATTGTCAGGGATGCAGAGCACAGCCATTCGCTGTGTTATTTTCAGGCATTATCTTCCTCTGTTTGGGACATGAGCAACTGGCAACTGGAGTGGCCATTGTCCAATAGCAGCCAGACTGCCCTGCCAGCCTTGGCCAACAAACAAACTGGACAAAAATGGAACAGTCGTCTGCCATCTTTCCATAACAATATCGATCGGCCTCCCAACTGTCTGCGCCCACCAAACACATCACGAACATCGTCACACAGACAGCCACACACTGATCACCATCGCCTGCGATGTGCACAGGCTTCGATCTGCTTTGTGCTGTTGACCAATGCAATCGAGGGAGCAAACGTTCATTGCAACACGCAATCGAGGGGGCATGCAGCACACAAGAAAAATGTAATCGACGGTGCACGTGTTATTGCAAAATGCAATCCACAGAGCGCTGCGCATTGGCCCAGGATACAAGTGGCCAGCCCCAGAGCAGGCTCTTCGGACCATCGCACCTGCCGGACATGCGGCACGGGCAGCACGTGCGGACCACAGTCGATGTCCCCGAGGGATCGGGACATCGCGATGCCCCCCGGCCAAGCCCTCAGCGGCCCAACGCCGTTCTCCCCGAGGCCGGGAGGGCCCCGTTTGGTGCGGCACAGCTTGTCCACCTTCACGCCCGCGGACCTGAGGCGCAGCTGCTCGGGCTCGTTATCGTTCAGCTTGTGGCAGCACGTCATCTCGACGATGTGGTTGCGCGTGTCCAGGAACACCTCGCTGTCGCCGACGTTGGCGACGGTCAGCAGCCAGCCGCGGAGCACGGCGATGGACACGGTGGTGCCTGGAATTGGGAAAGGGGGCGTCGGGTCAGCAGTCAAAGCAGCATTGAGCACATTCAATCACAGGTGAGCTGCTTATCATAAGGGAAGAACTCTGCGCAGGGACGAGGCTGAACTCGGGTTTGAACCTACGGGATCAAGGCCGCGGTTGGATCGGGCACAAGGCCAGAGTTCGTACAATTCTGCAGGACAGCAAGCCCCCAGGCGGCGATGCCAAGCACCGACGTCGCCTGTTCATGGCCGAGATTTCGGCTTCCATGCAAGAGGCATTCAATGTTGACGGGCGCAGGACGCGCGTCGATCTGGATCGGGATTGTCGGCGGTGGAAAGCGGGGCACTGGCACCTGATGCGCGGCATCCCTCGAACTCGAAGTCCGCGTGCAGTGAGGTGAAGGCCTCCACCAGCGCCCGCCGCACCGCCTCCGCGAACACCTCGCCCTCTGCACCCGTACAGCCCGGGCGTCACCACAACCGAATGCACGCAAAGCGCGATCACATGCATCCATGGCCAAGCAGTCTGCATCAAAAGGTCCCGTGGAGGAGAGCAGCGATGGCCGCCGCGGGGGCGCCACCGGCGCCAGGGGGAACCATCGCAGCGACAAGGGTTTGCGGACAGCAGCGGACCAATCTGGCGGCAAGCAGTGCAGATGAGCCGAGATCTGCCGCCCGACGCGGTGCGCACCTGGGGTGTCCAGCGACGGCATGCGCGCGGCCGCGGGCAGCAACCTGGACAGCGTCGGCCCCAGATTCTGTTTGACGAACTCCGCGCAGTGCTGCCCACCGTGGCCGTCCGCGACGCCGAAAACCCTCCAATCGTGGTCAGCCTCGCCATCCACACCGCAGCGCCTCAGGCCGTCCAGAACGAAAAATACATCCTGCAACGGCCATGCACCCGGACGACTAAACGAAAGGCGAAAACGCTCCCCGGCGCGCAACGCCCGTCGAGACCCTCCCAAATCGTGGCGGCACGTGCGGGGCCCACCTCAGCGCGCTTGCCCAAATCTGGCCACGGAAGGTGACAGCATGAGAGCACCCACAGTTGCCTGAACACAAACCGACCCGACAACGACCGGCCACTCGCCCAACGCAATTGCAAAGCCTCCCCGCGCGAGCGAGCCGCTCTCCGGGCGTCGCCAAATGCGCCGCAACCGGCATCACGTTAATGCACACACGCCGACGATGTCCGCCTTCGAAAGTGCAAGGCCCAGACAATACAATTGGCAGGTCCGACGCCGCCCGGCCCGCCCAGCATCCCGCCCACGCACCTCATGCTTCACCTGGCGCTGCACCACGGCGTATCGGTACTCGGGCGCCGGCAGGCCCATGCCGCCCGCGGTCGGCCTCGCCCACACGCCCTCGCCGACCTGCCTCGCAACCAGCCACCGGCCGCTCAGCAATCAACTCCCCGGCCCCAGCAACGCGGCGGCCACAAGGCCGGCGGGCGCACCACGTCGGCGCAGGTACACACACCCCAGTCCCTCCAACGTTCCCCGACCTTTCGCACCCTCCCACGACAAAATGCCGCCGTAAATGCAGGCAGAAATGCCTCACCCAGCCGAACCCCATCCGCTTTACCGCCCCAGCCGCACCCACCACAGCCCACCGATCCAGCCCGCCGATCGCCAACAATCCCGGCACCCCACGCAGCAAGCAGAGTCGCGCACGGGCCGGTTTTGGGGTGTCAGGGGTCCTACAAAGGGTGAAGTTACAATTCCAGGCCGAGGGTACCGCAGGCGGAACGCGACCAAGGAGAGAACAGACCCGACCCCGCCGTACCTCTTCCGGCCTCCCCGGCAGTACCTCCGCTGTCGTCCGAGCCGCGGCGCACATGCCCAGCGCCGATGGGCTTTGTGCGCACGCTGGGCACATCCGAGGCGACATGACTCACGGCACCAAAACGATCAGCGGAGCGCGCTGAGTGATGGCTGGGCTGGTCGCCACGACCGCCTGCCGGCATGGGCCCTGATGGCCAGCGTGGAGGGCCGTCCGCGCTGGCGAGGCCAAACTATGAGGAATACTTGGGGAACATATTCTCGTCGGGGGCCTGATGGCACGGGATTTGGGCCCGTGGTGACGCGACTGTTGTCGGTGTTGGCATCAAGGTTGCTGGCCATGCCGTGTGGCCAAGCGGGGGGCGGTGCCTGGGGGCGCCGGCGCCCCGTGCGTGCTGCCGACGCGCTGCGTCCCACCAGCTGGGGCGCCCGTTTCCGCATTGGCCCCCCCGATGAAAAGATCCTACCAGGGGCTCCATGTGGGTTGGGTGGCCTGGGCACCTGGTTTGCACCTGGTTTGCACCTGGTTTGCACCTGGTTTGCACCTGGTTCTGGACAGGACTCCTGTGGGCGCACTGAAACCGTGGCAGAACTATCTTTGGCAAAATGGGGGGTTGGTGGCTGCAAGTGTATCCTTGCCTTTGTCTGCAAAATGACCGATTGATTGGTTGATGAGGTAATTGATGGATTGATTGAAGGATGGATGGATTCACTGATTGACTAATTGGTTAGTTCATTGAATGAATCACACAATAATGCAAACAACGGTATCGGTTGATTGGCAGATCGATTGACTCATGCCAAGACCGTGGCCTTGCCATGGACAGAACTCTCCGGAGGGTAGCAGTGAAAAATCGACTTGAATTCAGTCGAGCGGGGTTGACTCCTAGCGACGAAATGGCCAAAAACGCACAGGCCTGTTATCTCATGCCAATCGCACACAGGGCCTAAGTCCCTCCCTTGAAATGGATGCTGTTCGCAACACCGCATAATGACCACCGTTTCACTGGGTGGATCACTTATGCATTATGGTGTGCGACTTGTACATATTTGCACTTTACCACTGAGTGTATGGGCACCTTTGACATATGTTTTGTAAAGTAGGTTGCATTGCGGTGATGCGTAGGTATATCTGAAGTGTTGTATGGCTAGTTGTTGATGGATGATGGTCATTGTCATGTCCAAAGAAGAGTTATGTGGGTGCCAAAAAGATCGAATTGTTCGGTTGCGGGGGTCGTTGCCACCGTCGGCAAGGCTCTTCGCTGTGGGAAGGGTGAACAAACATGTAAGCCCTGGGTGTTTTGTGTGTGGTGTGGCCTTGCGTCTAGTCATGTGCCAATACCGTTGAAGCATCGGCCATCGTGGATTCGCGCTTCCCGTGTGCACTCCAAAAGGGGCCGTTTGAATTGCATCAGCGGCTTTTTCTTTAAGAATGCTCAGTTGGCATTGTAGTCCTCTCCTCAGCTGGTGGGAGGGCCTGGTTGCCTGCCGCAAATATAACCAAACGTAGATTACAGACTGGAGGTCGATGTAGAGGTGGCCACTCAAAGGTGCCATCCGGTCCATTAAATCCGGTTCGTTAATTTTTATCAGCTGTCCGTTAAATTTCGTTAAAGCAAAAGGGAGAAAAATTCAGAAAAAACCAAAAAAATCCAAAAAAATCAAAAAAAAACCCAAAAAATCACAACAACTGGTGCTAGTTGAAAATCTAGTATGCATAGGTTGGAATAAAATACAAACATACTCTCTAATAGCGAATTCCATAAACTATAAGTATGACTAAAAGCCAAAAATCCCCCCAAAATCCAAAAATCCGCTAATTTTTGGTTAATTTTTGTTTTTTCGTTATTTTCCGTTAATTAACGGAAAATTAACGGAAATTAACCTCTGTCCGCTATTAACGGATCCGGGTGGCCACCTCTAGGTCGATGACATTGCCAACCAACCAATTTATGTATATTGTCATGTTCATTCTCAGCCACACACTTCACATCATATACCACAGAATATTCCTAGCTCCCCTTCTCATAATGCCTATTGCCATACACCTCAAAATTTTCTAGCATTCAAAGTCCCATCTTTGCATTGCCCTTATTGATATGTTAAGATTGTTGGTGTGGGGCGCCTACCCTCTTTAAGTTGCAGACCCGCATCGCTGGGTACTTAGGTCCTTACGGGGACCTGGGCGGGACCACCCCGACCTACTCCCATATCATATAGTAGTATATAATCCGGTTCAGGTATTGTTACTATGTCTTGGGTAGGGCGTCCCCCACACCAGGAGACTGTATCAGGGCATCCCCCACATGAGGCTTGTGTGCGTAACATTTATGGACCACCTAAATCCAATCAAAACTCCCACATAATATCCAATCATATCATGCACCGATAGTGACAACTAAAAGTCTAAGCCATGCATCCCACGGTTGCATATCACTATCATCAAAATTCAACGAATCTGCTTATAATATAATTAAATCTGGCACAGGATCTATATCTTTTGCGCACACCACCTATCCTGACATTTTTTGTGGCCTTCACGGGCCCTATCCACACCAGCTCAGTTCAAATTTGATCAGCATGGCAGTGCATATTCTCCATGCCACATTGCCCATACTCAACTACTCTTATGGATGGCTATGGTGTAAACTATAGGAGTTAATTAATGTTTCTTTAAATGGGATTTAGGAAATGAAATATATAGTGATTAAGGTATTTATGAGAAAGTACTACTTTCAAAGTAGACTTTATTAGAAATTCATAGGTTTTTGAACCTCAATTGGCTTAGCGGTTGAGGAGATATGGTTAGTTGAATATCTAGTATTTTAAAGCCCTCTCTTAGACTATATTGGGGGATGAGATACTATCGTTCAACATGATACGATATTGGACGCTGCATTGTTGCATGACTCGTGCTAGTGGCCACCTCAAAAGGGTGACCACCTGATGCAGTACTGTAACCATTTGTTCCCCTACCTTGCGCCTCCTAGCGGCTGCACCTGCGAGCCGCACGGTGGGGAGCACTCACCATGCGCACAACCACCCCACGCTCGGCCATCCTTGCGGCCTGGGACCATGCTGTATATCCGAAGAAACGAGCGCCCCGGAAAGCCCGCCAACGATCCAGTGGAGGAGGCCCCACGGGCTTCATTGGGCGCATCGGCGGGTGCATCTCCTGCATCCGACTGAAAACCACACCAGGTGGTTTCGGAGCTGGCGGGCGTGGATGGCAAAATCGTGCCACGTGGTATGAGAGCACAAGGGGAACCCGGCTCAATGGCAGGAGGGCCCCATTTTGTGAGAGATCTAAGGAGATGGGCCGGCCAGGCGGGGCCTCGTGGCGCCATCTGAATTGGCGAGTGAATCCAGACTGGCCCGAGTGCCTGGCCCTGCAGAGGGGGGCGCAATTTGCTGCTTCTCATGCCTAGCCCGACGGCGAGGGGGCGTTGGCTTGTGATCCAAGCACCGAGCCCGATGGTGGGGGGTGCTTTGAAAGCACTGCTTTCTATGGAATTGTTTCACCGGATCGGGCATTGGGGGACGTTGCTTGTGAGGGGCACCTGAGCCCAGCGGCCGGGGGAGTGATCCGTGCACCTGCGTAGATATTTGTTAGTGGGGGATGTAGGCCAGCAGGTGCCATACCCATGGAGGGGCACAGAGAATGGAGTGAACAAGTGGAGGGGGTACCCTGGGTCGCGGGGGCTCGACGCAGGCGTGACTGGACCCCCCCGGGTGACGTGACGGGGGGAAGCCAAGGGAATGCGCTTATATTGTGTACTGTAGATGGGGTGGGTGGGGTGGGGGTGGGGGTGGGCAAATAGTGACTTCTACAATAGGGGGGAGTAGTGACCCTCCACGACATGTGAGTGAACCGGGTGCCTTTCGGTGACTCTGCAAAGTTCTGAATCTAGGCAAAAAGGTGGTTTCCCATTGCAGGGAACCTCTACAGAAGCTTTTGCCTATGAGTGCACTCTACAGGAGTAGCTGAGAGGTCCATAGACCCACTCAATGGGTAGAGAGCGGCTCTCAATACCTATTTTGGAGCATAGGTAGGCCCGGCCAGATGGAGTTGGAACAGGAATAGGGAGCGTGTCCATTCCCATCCCAGGAATGGACCCGTTCCCGTTTCTGTCCCAGTCCATTCTAGTCCATTCTTGGGCCCTTTCCCCAGGAATGGATTTGGACCAAATCTGCGTCAGGTAGGAATGATGTTGGAACAGATCCGTTCCTGATCAAGAACAAATCCGTTCCTGATCAAGAACTGATCTATTCTTGACATGGACCAGCCCCGCCCTTGTCCGTTCAAGTCTGTTCTAGTCCATTCCCGAGGAATGGACTATGCAAATTCCAGGTCTTATAAGTTAAGGAAGGCCACTGATGGATGGTGTGGTTTTCAGCTCGATGTGATACGATTGCTTAGTAGATATAGTAAATGGGAATATTTAATTGCTAGCAACTTAAGTGTTTGAGTTTGTGGGACACTCGGGTGCAAAGGACAGTCAAGCAGACAATTTAGATGATGTATAATTAAATCCTTTCAATGTCATGCCCCG